AGGAAACCTTGGAAAATGTTTTCCATAAAGTAATTAGCAGAGAGATTGGTAAGAGATAATTGTTTCCTTAAACAATGGTGCTGACAGAGAAGGTGTAGAGGTTGCCTAGAGAAACTGGAGACAAAATTCAGTTTCAAAAAGGTCCCTGTGTTGATTAAGAGGCTTTATTTCAATAAATTTTGAAGTATTTCTCTATGTAGCCCCTCTTCACATTTCACTACTCTGACCTATTGAAATTTGCTAAATCTTACCTGTTGTGACAAACACAGCAAGATTGTATCCACAACAAAGTTATTTTATTTTCTTTTGGATTAATATGCTAATAACATGAAACTAAATATTTTTTCAGCCATTTGTGACCATTCAAAAATGGAAAAAATCCCTCTTATTTTGGACATATTGTCTAAATTTTCTAATTGTCTAAATTGTATGTTTGCACCCTATTCTTTTCCAGAAGCTGGAAACAAAGTGCTTAACTTTCCTCAGTAATGAAATACTTACCAAAAAAATTGAAATCATTTATATATAATAAAATAATTTTAAATATATATTTATAAATATTTATTATTTCGATTATATTATTAATATTGTATTATTGTATATTACAAATATAAAAATATTTATATACAATGAAATAATTTTGTAATAGAAATAATTGTATATTCCTTATCCAAAATAAGGATTTGTAAATTTTTATATTTGTACAATATTTACAAAATCTGTAAATTTTGTGTATCTGCAGTTTATGCTATTTTGGGAGGGGGTTTTTATTATTTTTTCCATCCTGAAATTTAAAAGAGAAAAGTCTGATGCTCATCATAGTGAGGAGAGGCACACTGTTACCTGGGGTGTGTGCAAATATTTGTAAATATCCTGTTCCAAATGTCTCATATTTATTTATTTATTGCAGGTTTAGCAGTTTCAGCAGTGCTTTGAAGCATTTGAGACAGGAAACCAAACCTGACCCATTATAATGTGTTGTGTTGTGGGATGAAAATAAGTATCTTTAATTATTTTCTTTGTGTATCAGTGTACTCTGCACACAACTGGGGAAGTGTTCACAATGATGTTGATGGTCTGTTAAGCAGAAAATATTTTTTAGATTTGATGTGAAAACAGAGAACTCAGTCTTGTTCTCTTCTAAATAAGTTTCACTCAAAAAAAAAAAAAAGAATAAAAAGGCAGAGTTCTTGCAGAACTTGGGCTGGACAAACTATTTCAGCACAGGGTGAGGAATGTGTGAAAGTGCCAAGAATGTGCAGAAGTCTGTGGATGTGTTAACAGACAGCAAGCTCATCCCAGAGCCAGCAGTGCATTCCTTGTGCCAAGGAAAGGGAGCTGCTCATTGCTGGAGCCATGAGCAGAGGGAATTCCCAGTGCTGGGAATGTGGGATATGGGAATGGCTCCAGGCATGGCAGCACCTGCTGCAAGAATTACCAAGGTGGAATAAGGGTGAGGGTTACCAGGGGAACTAACCATCTAAATCTCTTTCAATCCAAGTCAAGTCCAATTCTTGATTTTAATTAAAGAATTAAGGCTTTAGGATTGAGTGCATTTATGCTGGGAAAGCATTATTTGTTTGTGCATCTGCAAAATGTTATTTCTTGCCTGTTTCCCAGGATATTGTGTATTTTTCTTTAATTATCACAAGCAAAGCAAACATGCTCATCTACAGAATGCAGTGTATTTTTTTAACCTTGTTCCAAGAGTTTCTTCTTTCTCTGTCACGTAGGCCTTATCAGTCAGTCAAGCAATTAAGATCCTAAGAGAAATTTTCTTGCTGGAAATATTTCATCTAGATTCCTGAAGCCATTTTTTCCATGAAAAAGGGATTTCTTCCTTTACTGTCTTCTGCACAAATGGCCTGGGTTTCTTTATACACAGCTACTCCCATATTTTCTCCCTCTTTTTTCTCTCTGAAGCCCTCACATTTTTCTGCACATGAGAATGACGCATGTGAATTGGCTGAAAATATTTTCCCTTTTAAGATCTGGTCATAATCCTTTTGTTTTCAAAGCAGCCCAGACACCAGGACTGGTGGAGGGAAAAAAAAAAAGAAAATGCAGAGGAAGAGATGTAGGAAAAGTTGATAATAATTCTTGGGAATGAGTAAATTTCTGTGGCATGTCCGTCCTCCCTGGGCTCCTCTGATGAGGCTGGGAGGATGCAAACCTAAACACTTCATTTTTCTTGGACTAAGAGAGTTCTTGTAGTGTTTTTAGGGGCTGATGGGGTTTGAAACCAGAACAATCTATAAGTTATTGATGAAAAGAAAGACCTGGAGGACTGCTCTGATTCCTCCTGTTCCTTTGCCCTCTCATTTCCCAGGAGATTCAGAGGCAATAGAAGAACACAATTGGCCATTTGCATTTGTGCTGCACCAAAACCTGTATTTTATCACAAATAAAAAGTAAAATTGCTAAATTTTTTAGTGTCCATAGGGCCCTAGCTGGGTGGGAGAAAGAGAGGGAAAAGTGGTGGAAAAGCAAACAGCTCTGTGCTTCTTCAGCTCAGTGTTTGTAGAAGAGGGAAAACACCAGACAGGACCTTTCCCTCCACAGTCCTAAGAGGATTTCTGGATGTTTTCTTGCCTCTTCATAGACAGGAATGGAGGGACATGAGAAGCTTTGCTGCTTTCAGTTTCAAAGCTCTTGCAGCATGTTTACTATTTAAAAGAGGCTTCAAGCCTTGCTTGGAGGGCTTGACATGCTGACTAAAAGTCAGGGCTCATTTATCTGAGTGGGTTTGTGGGTCGTGTATCAGCACAGAAGCTCTTGGGCTGGCACCTCTGGTGTTCTGCAAAGGGAGTTTTTAGTCCAGTCAATTTAGTTTTCTGTGGAAGTATGGAACTGGTGAATAAAGCCTGATGGGTTCTCATGCAGCTTATGGAGTAGATAAACTTTGCTAACGTGAAATATTTTACTGCCCTACGTCGCATTTGTGTTGCCATGATGTGTGTGTGTTCTTCCATTTTTGGAGACAGCACTGGAGAAAACACAATTTGATGGGAGCAAGAGAGCAAAAGCTGGATCAGTCTCACTCTGGGGTAACACTTGAGGCTGGTGGTTCTGCAGTGGAAGCCAGGGGGATGCTTCTTTGTTTTTTAGCTCTCCACTGAACCAGAAACTGGTGCTCAGTGAAGAGCTGCACACAGACATGGATTTCCTGAAAATAAGAAAAAACATACAGATACAGCTGATGAAACAATCCTGAGGTTGCAACTCTTTTTCCTTATTTTCACACTGCCCAGAGGAGCTAACCTGCTTTCCCAGTGAAATGGAAGAGCATTCCAAGCAAATCTGGGGCAAGTGATTTACATTCAGCTGGCTTCTGAGAGTTTCAGGCCAAAGCTCAAGCAGGATGTAAAGTTCACATGAAATGTGCAGGTGACAGGCTCCCAGCGAGCATGTGACTGTCTGGAATGTATGCTGTCAACATTCTGGCTGATAAGATGCAGAAAATTCAGACACTCACCTTTTAATCAGGAAGAATGACTAGCAGAAATCAAGACGCCTTTTCATGAACTCCAGCACAAGTGACGAGGCAGAAGTAAGGTATGTTGTCATTTTTAATCCTTTTAAAAGGAGAAATGGACACTGCCCTACGTTCAGATGCCACACTGGGGCACTAGGAAGTTTAGTAACACAGTATTTCTGTGGTTTTTGAAATAAAAACCCACAATCATTGGTTGATAAAGTGTGGTGGAATGTTTTGAGAGAGTTGTTTCCTTCTTCCCTGAATAAGGCTGAGATGGGAGTCTCAGAGCCAGTGCTTTGGAATGGATGAAATGTGGGACTCCAGGCACCACAGTGGTGGTACCATGGGAGATGCAATGCTGAGAGACAGTTTGATGTATTTTCTAGTCTCCATAATTAGATAACAGGGTTTTTTTGGGGGAAAAAATGCTTTATATTGTTGTGCATTCATGTTTCATGTCGAGACAAATCCTATTCAGTCTCCAGCTTCCTCCACAGAGGCTGTCATGAGCTGGGGAATGTACTCTACTAAGTATTAAAATTTATTTTAATGCACTGTTTCTAATGTATTAAGATTTTTTTGCCAGATAGTGTGAGCTGCTCAAGAAATAACTGCTCCCATCCACTTTCAGACAGCACAAGATAAGTATATTCTATGCTCAGGGCAACCCAGGTCAGATCTGTCTCGTAGCATTGCTTTTGGAAATGGACATTTCTATTCTGCTCACATTTACTGGTGATTTTAGGAATCCCAGCACCTTTAGCAAACCTGTAGCACTGCCTTGCTGAAAATTGTCATGTTTTTCTTGTCATGTGACTTTAAGAACAGATAATAAATATGAAGGGAACTGAAAGCTTCGGTTTATATCCTTCCCTCTTACTTTGTGTTGTGGGAGGTTCTCAAAAGAGCTCCTTCAGTTCAAAAGGACCAAGAGTAGCTGAAATATTAAAAACCCACATCCCCTTGAAGAAATTTTGTCACGTATCTGTGAGTCCCCCAGTCTGGAAGGGGGCAGGTGCCTGAGCGAGGCAGGTCCCTGTAGGAGAGGCTTTTTACAGCTTCAGGCTTTGTGTCCTTTGTGAATAACGTGGGCAGCTTTGACGCTGCCTCTTCCAAACCCTGCTTTGCTGCTCCCTGAGCCCAGGGCAGGATCTGAAGGCAGTGAGGAGATGAGCAAATGTTCTGGGATGAGCACGAAGATTCCTTGGGGGCGGCTGCCTTTGGGTCCCAAGAGGACAAGAGCCCAAGCTGTCCTTGTGCGTGTAACAATCGGCTCAACTGCTGTAACAATTCTGCCTCATTCAAGGCCAAAGCCACTTTGAACTAGAGGGAGAATCAGCACTGTAAACTGGAGTTTGTTGGGAAAAATGAGGAGTTATGGATACCTGCTGTGTGGAGGCACTAGAGGACACCGCAATTACAGGCAGCACTTCAAACTCCCCTCCTTGCCAGAGCGTTGCGTTGCACACGCGTTTATCTCGGTGTTGCAAGTTTGAAAAGTTGCCATGCTGTGAGATTTCAGCTTCAGCAGGAGCAGACAAAGATCTTGGAAGGGTATCATCATCCTCTGCTAGGATGGAAAATCGCCTCTTTGGCAATAGCAGCATTTTATGGGATCATTATCTGATTCGCAGGATCGTCCTTGAATTCCTCCTCTTTTATAGTCTTTTGAGAGGACAGGCGAGTAATTCAAAGAGCAGAACTTATTTTTAGGTTTAGTCTGAGCCTGAAATAAACTGAGAAGGCTGAGTAGTGTTACGATAAACAGGGAGTAGAACAGAGACAGGAAATAGGGGGTCTTTGGTAATGAGTTCCAGCCACTCCTGAAACAGAAAGCCAGAGAAAGAATTACTTGAGAATAGTTTCTCAGTGACAGCTTAATAATTTTTAGCTTGTTATTCAACATTAAAGGGGAACAGTTCCTGCAGTTTTATGCCGTTCTTGAAAGATCCCTTTTTTAAAGATCATTTAGCAAGTTATCTTTTGGGTGTTTTCAGGGTTGCATTGTTCGTGCTGCTAAGCGCTCTGCTGTTTAAAAAAACCAGATGTTTGGGGGGGAGCCTGAAGTTTATACAGTTCTGTGTTATATATACACATCTGTGAGAAGCCTTTGGGATAAGGCTGTGGGACAGGGGCAGGGGATTCAGCTGAAAATACGAGCAGGCATTGAAGATTTGAGAAGCTGAGGGTTGAAAGGAGAAGAAATCACAGCTACATCCTGTAGAACAAAGCAGAGCGCTTGCTTCCAAAAGTTTCCTTTAACCCTGGGAATGTGACTGCTGAGATGGGCCCAAAGCATGGATGCTGAGATTGATATTTACAAGCACTTCACGTGGCTAAAGAGGGTAAGTGATTTGCTGGGCTTTGTTTTCGCTTTCTAAACGCACATTTGGCAAAATCTTGGTGAGGATTCCCTTGTCGTGAGAAAGGAAACTCATTCAGCGCCTCCGACTTTAAATGGTGTGAGTTTCCTCATGAGAAGTGAATTAAAGACGTGCCTCGGTGGAGGAGGAGGAGGAGGCTTAGGGAGGGGGGAAGAAAATCAGCTGTCTTTGTCTTTAAAAATGAAACTCTAGGATCAAACTTGGAGCAAATGGCAATAGATTCTGGCAAGTGCTTGCGCCTTCCGGGGATTGCAGTGCAACAAAACAAATCCCGCATGGTAACGTATAGCAAAAGAAAGGAAAGATCCCCATGCCGTGCTTTAAAGGGAAAGGTTTCCTGCACCAGCTCTTCCCTTAAGAGAATCTTCATCGGGGTAACTCTGGGAGACCTTTCGGGATGCCTTTGTCTCGGGTAAAAATGGTGCTGCTTTTCTTCTGTGCCTGTTATTCTGCTAAAAATATGGGGTTGTTTTTTAAAAAAAGTTCATTTTGTTGATGAGCTGCCCAGACATAGATTAACTGCATGAAGTTGTTTTTGTCTTCCTTTTCTTTTGTTTTTTGTTTTTTTTTTTAGAAGAAAAAGTGGGTTTGTGCAGTTCTCTCATCACTTTGAAAAAAAAAATCACTTTGTTTCTGCTTTTAGGTTTTATATTTTAAGTATTTATTTTTCAGTGTTAGAAAAATCCATGAATGGGGTGTGACTAGATCACTCAGGACAGGCTGGGTTTTAAACTAGAATATGGATTTAATTGTGAGTCACGAAGGAAGCACATTCTCTCTTTATTCTTTTAAAATCTGCTCTAACCTGTGTGTGTTTTTCCTGCAAATTCTGTCTATATGTACACACACATAAATACTTCTATTAATTTCTTTTAGAATGCTCTCTTGGGTTTTTGCTGGCTGTATAAACATAAAATAGCTGTCAATTCTAATGTAAAATGTGATTAGGAATGTTTATTTTGGGTAGTTTCTTGAATAAGTGTAAAATATTAATATTAAAACATTAATGGTGTGTCAGCCTTTAATGAGACTGAGATTTAACGAGAATCCTGAAGTTAATTTACCAAATATTTGCATCAGATTCTGGAAACTTTCACATTTCTGGAGTGTGTCTGTGGAGGGGATTAAATGGGAAGTGAGTGGATAGTGAGGAGACAACAGGAAGTAGCTGCTGGTAACTTTATGCTATTAGTTTAACCTGTGCTCTGTGCAGTTAAAGCTAATTACCTCTTTAAAAAAAATATATCTTGAGCTCACATATTAATTTGCTATTTAAATGAGGTTACAGATACAGATTGTCTGCCTCTCCTGCTTTTTTTTTTTTTTTACAATGAATTTTTTTTAAATGAAATTTACAGAAATTTCATTTCTGTAAAGACAGATTTGCTAACAAAAAGGTTAATGAGGTCTGCTGCCATCAGCCTGCGGGCTGTGTTCAGAAAGGATGCGCTGTTCAAAGGTGGCACAAGATTTTGCAGGAATTAATAACGCTCCTGCTGCTGTTGTGTGTAATTCCCTTTCTCTCAGGTACATAAAGCAGAATATCAATACTGCTGCTTCTCCTTGCAAGCTCTTTAAAGGGGTGAAGCAGGACTGAAAGGGATCTTGCACTGTTCCCAGGAGAACTTCAGCTGTCTGCTCCCAAATTCCTTGGAGAAGTGATTTAGAAACCAAGAAAGCTGCATCAATCAAAGTTGTTCATTCAATTCTCCTGTCCAAGAGTCCCAGGGTCTGGCCCTGAATGTTACAGCACATAAAGATTCCAGTTCCTGCAAGCATAAACTGTTGCTCTTTGGCTGATAATAAAATTAGGAGTTGCTTTCAGAGTAACACACGGCATTTAACAGAGAAAAACTGCAACAGACTTCCACAAAGCCTTGGCCAAGTATGCCAGAGCTGGCTCAAATTTCAGCATTAGCAGAAATCACTTCAGAGACCCAGATGGGTTCTGATGTTGCAGGGTTTGGCTGGGCTGGCTTTGTGTGGTATCTGTGGCTCAGGCTGGGTTAGGGCAGCAAACAGAAGCAAAAATCACGAGATCCAGGCAGGCAAAACAACAGATACAGCTGCTGGTTTTGGATGCTCAGGACAGAGGGCCTGGTTTTAAGCAGTAACAAAATGTGTCCAGCAGCACCTTGCAGCAGGGGAAAAAGCATTATTTAACTCCAACTGGATAAATCTGCCACATTTCAGTTCTTGCCATTGCACTTCATTGGTGTCAGCAGGACCTGTGGGCCAAGAATGGCCAGAGGGATGGACAAAGTGGGCAACAAAACCTGAGAGCAGGTGGGCAGAGCCAAGGAAGGAGGATAGGGAAAATTCCTTGCGTATAAACATTGTGCTTCTAAATTCACAGCACAGTCAGAAAGCACTGGTGGGCAGCCTGGGGAAAGTGTTTTGCAGGTAATTAATGCTGGGTTCCTTCACAGGGCCTGAGTGTGGATCTCTGAAAAGTTTCTGTTGCAAACTAAGGGACCTGAGATGGCCCCACTACCTGAAAGTGTCTGGTTTTTAACAAATGTTCTTTTGTTCTCCCAAGGGATTTGGGATTCACGTGCAATTTTGTGTTATCCTGATATTTTATTCTTATCTTCCCACCCTTAATTGGAAGACACCATTCCAAATAAAAACAGCACAACCCACATTTTGGTATGTAGACATGTAGTTGTAGCCCAAAATTATTAATATAAATGTTAATATTCAATGCAAGCAGCGCAGCACAGAGATGATGGCTGGCCTGAAATTTGTGTTATGTTGGTTTCATGCCTTCTTTTTTTCCTGGAGGAGATTCTTAACCTGTACCGGCAAGAGGCTGAGTGATCAAACCCATGATGTAGCCATTAAATTCAAGATATTGAAGGTGAAACTCATGACTTCTGTAAGGATATTTTCTTTTAAGACACATAACTGTATAGAGGAATGAGTATTAATTTTCAGAAAAATTATCTGGATAAAATTCATTTGGTGTAAGGACTACCAAAATTTACCTAGCTCTGTGTTTCCTTAGCTTCAGACTGTGCACTGTCAGCTTTTTCCAAGTGACTGCCACTTTCATTTCACCAACCAGTAACAATGGCAAATAAAAAACCCTGCTGTTGATTTACTAATTGCCTTCAGATGAAAGGCAAGAATTATAGATCCAGAAATCATGTCCCAGCCTTCTCCTCCTCCTCTCAGGTAGCTGAGAATGCCCAGGGGTGTGTATCTGAGATAGCACTAGCATGACAAGGGATTAAATTTGTATTGCATCCATAGTCAGATGCAAATAAAAATGTTTTCTGTGCAAGCTGCTCACTCACCACTCGTTGCAGAACAACTCCTTGTGACTCACAACATCATTCTAGAGCGCAAAAAGAGCACTACAGAGGTGGAAAGACCACGCACTCCTAAATATTGTGACTGAAATAGGTTGGGAAGAGTCTGCAGTGTGAATTTTCCAGCTCTGAGGTGCTGACTGGCTGCATTCTGCTGGCCCTACTCTTTCCTTTCAGCTTCCAAACTTCAGAAAAAGCCACCAAATCAAGCATGTCCCTAATCCTCCCCATTAATACAATGCCACAGGCATCCTATTCAATTATCAGTGGGCTGAGGGTGGTTTATGTGGCTAAGGAAGAGAGGAGGGTTATGATATAATCTGTCTCCTCAAAGAGGCGGGTGACTTGCTGAAAAAGCTCCCAGATCACCACTTTAGCCGACTGCCAGCTTTCTTTTCCCAGCTCCTCCCCAGCCCAGGGTGAGATCCATGGTGTTTGTGACAGATTTCTGAGTCACAGCTTGCTGACCAGCTTCAGAAGTTGGTGGGGTTAGGATTAAAATTGGCTGTGTTGGAGATTCCTGGTGCTGAAAAGGCACACACGAGGAGAACATCAACTGAACAACGTTTCTTGCCATATCCTTTGATGCTTTTACTGATTTATCCCCATTTTATATCAAAGCTATTGAATTGTTCTGCAAAGTCTGATTTTTTTCTGCATGTGTGTCACACGAGAAGGAAAATTCAATTCCTTTTCTTGGAAGGGGACTCAGTAATGACTGGACCATGCAAGTGATACTTAGAACTTCCCAGCAACTTTCCAATATTATTTTCATATTAAATCAGGGAGCAGATTCCAAAGAGAGATTTGGAAAATGAAAATGAAAAAGCTAAAGCAGGTGATGGAACACTTTTTGACCAGAAAAAGAAAAATTAAGAGGAAAGAGTTATTTTTCTTTTCTTTTTCTATAACTGGGAGAAAAGGCTGATTTGGAACTGTTCCAGCAAATGTTTCATGTTAATATCTTTTGCCATCTGATTGGCACTAAAGTATAATCAAAATTGTTAAGGAGACTGTAATACAGGTGCTCCAAAAAAAACTGTTTTGCAGCTCCTGGCTTCCTGTGCACTTTTTCAGTGGGTAAATCCTGGCTGGATGTCCTGACAGGGAGGACAGGACACTGTCACCAGTGGTGTTCCCTGGGGATCAGAGTTGGACCCAGCGCTGTTGGGTGTCTTTATTGATGATCTGGACGAGGGGATTGAGTGCACCCACAGCAAGTACCAGGGTAACACCGAGCTGGGTGGGAGAGTTGATCTGCTGGAGGGAGGAAGGCTCTGCTGAGGGATCTGGGCAGGCTGGAGGGAGGAAGGCTCTGCTGAGGGATCTGACACCGAGCTGGGTGGGAGAGTTGATCTGCTGGAGGGAGGAAGGCTCTGCTGAGGGATCTGGGCAGGCTGGAGGGAGGAAGGCTCTGCTGAGGGATCTGGGCAGGCTGGAGGGATGGGCTGAGGCCAGTGGTGTGAGGTTCAACAAGGCCAAGTTCTGGATGCTGTCCTTGGGCCACAACAACCCCATGGGGCACTACAGGCTGGGGGAGAGTGGCTGGACAGTGGGCAGAGAAAAGGACCCGAGGGTTGAGAGTGACTGAACATGAGCCAGCTGTGCCCAGGTGGCCAAGAAGGCCGATGGCATCAGAAATATTGTCCCCAAAGGACACTGATTGTCCCTCTGTCCTGGGAACTGCTGAGGCCGTGCCTCGAGTGTTACCAGCAGCACCCAGGCCTCGGTGCTGCATTCCAAAATAGATGTACACTGCAGACCCTTCCCAGCCTATTTCAGTCAACAATCTTCAGAAGTGCATGTTCTTTCCACCCCTGTAGTCCTCTTTTTGGTCTAGAATTGTGTTCTGTGTCTGGTTCAGGAGGGCATCGGGGGCCGGAGCGAGTCCAGGGAAGGGCAGCGGAGCTGGGAGGGTCTGGAGGGTGAAAGCCCCGTGAGGAGCAGCTGAGGGAGCTGGGGGTGTTGGGGCTGGAGAAAAGGAGGCTCAGGGGGGACCTTGTCACCCTCTAGAAGGGGCTGACAGGAGCGGGGAGTCAGCTGGGGATCGGCCTCTCCTCCCAGGCACTGGCACAGGGTGAGAGGACATGGCCACAAGAGGTTTAAATTTGATGTTGGGGAAAATTCCAGAAAGAGTTGTGAAACACGGGAACAGACTGCCCAGGGAAATGGTGGAGACACCATCCCTGGCAGAGTTCAAAATATATGTAGATGTGGTACTTGAGGATGTGGTTTAATGGCAAAATTGGTGGTGGTGCTGGCTGGACTCGATCTTGAAACTCTTTCCCAGCCCTAAGAATTCTGTGATTCCTGTAGGCAAAGTATTTATGGCATGCAGCTGATTTTTTTTTATCTGCAGTGGTTCTGCCATCAGCATATTTTTAGGTACCTTGCCTTTCCTTCTACTTTGTTATCATGTGTTATCATAAACATTTTTACACAGTTTGTGCAATCTCTCTCATTCTTTCATTGCAAGAGGCATTGTTAACATATTTGGCTTAGAATTTGTCAAGCTCAGCTAACAATTTTTGGTCTTTCATGCTGGATCTTCTGAAATAGCAGCTTTGCAGGAAGTCCTGCAGGTTCAGGACTTTTGGACCTGTGTAAACACATGACCAGTGTTTATTTGTTGTTTGTGAGTTTGTAGAGCAGCTGGAAATCATCTGTGGTCTCGCGTATTTTGTGTTGCGGGTCCTGTGTTCAATTGCTGCTGATTTTAATGTGTGTAAAAGATCCATCTTGCTCAGTTCCTCCTCAGTCCTGGCTCTCACAACTGCAGAATGCACTCCAGCCATCCACAGATGGCCTTGCCTCATGTTACACTGTTTTATCTTGTCTTTATCCATGCCACGAAGAATTACCGAGTCTCAAACAACTGCTGCACGTCAATCAGACACTTTTATTTAGCAGGTCATTTTTCTGTCCTCTGTGCTTATCTGAGGCCTTTCTGGCTGACCTCACACCTGCATATTTAGAGCCATTTCTGTGAGGTCTGGAACCTTAGTTGCGCTTATTATGAACTGGTGAAAAAATTGTGATAAAAGTATATTTTGAGTGGAGTTAACGCGTTCATCTTTTGATGGTGAATGCTGGTAAGTGAGGTGTGGGGTGAGCACCTGCACATTCTGCTTTCAGTGTTCCTGCTGACCCCTAAAACAGGAAAAAAACCCCTGAGATTATTGAATTTAGAGGTGATTCTAGTTAAGGCAGCTACGCTAAAAGATTAAAACATAAGAGCCAAATGCATAGGAAAAGAGTATAAATAATAGCATGCAAGGCAGTGCAGACCTGCTCAAAGTTACACATTTAAGCAGAAACAAAGAGTAAAAGCAGAATGAGGAACAGGCAGGCAGCTAAATAAAAGCATTTTAAAAGGATCTGGAAGTTATGGGGACTAGGCTGAAAATATATGAATTTTACTGTGTGGTTAATATGGAAAGAAATATGGCCTGAGAATATGTGAAAAGGTTTTATCACTCCAGGCAGTTTCAGCTGGAACACTCTGTCTCCTCCTAGGCACTTAATTTCAAAAGAAGCTGGGAAATAGTTGGTGAAGAGCAACCAAAGGAAAGCAACAAAACAAATCTTGACAAATTAACCTATGAGGAAAAGACAGAAGAACTCAAATTTTCCTTCACAGCACGAAGAGGGACTAATTAGAGATGTAGAGATAATCTTCAAATATACAAAATATCTCCGAGGTGAACGGAAGGACCTAATTTTTAATTCATGGTGGTGTGACAACCATGAAGTTGAAGAGCTGATTCAGGTTAGGTACGAAGAAAAATGCTCTGATGATGGGTAGGTAAGAGGTAGATGGAGAAGCTGTGAATTCCATCTCTGGAGCTCTTTAGAAGAAGACAAAACAAGAATATTGCAAATAACCATTGGTCCTAGGACAGAATATTGAGCCAGGTGATCTCTTGAGCCATCCTTCAGCCCTCTTTGTTGGTGCCACTGTGATTCTCTCAATTTCTTTCAAAACAATCAGACAAGGCTGTTCAGCTTCTCTCATATTTTATATCTCATATCTAACGTATGTTATTCAGCACTTCATGGCTGGAAAAGTGCCTTTTGATTGGATAAAACGTTTATTGATTTAACTAGCACCGTTTTTATTTTCAGCATCTGCTTTAGGGATGGGCTTGTTGACCTCAGTATAGATCAAAAAATTAATTATTAAAATGTAATTATTATGAATTAATATATATTAAACAATATATTTAATTATTCAATAATATATAATAATTATGATTATAATTATATTTTATATAATATAGTATAGAATTATGTATAATAAATAATATATATATTAACTAATGATTAAATTAAATAATATTAAAATTAAATTTATTTATTTAATTAATTAATTGATTATTGACTAAAAAATAAAATATCGTTCTCAAATGTTGAGTTGAAAAAGGAAAGGGCAGCTGGGGAGGAGGATTATAATCTTTTAATTTGTATTTTAATTTGAAGGCAGCTCCTTGGGAAGCCAGTCTGGGTGTTGTGTTCCCTGGCAGAAATGCAGCTCCTGCACTGGAGCTGGGACCAAATCAACCTCTGGGGGCTCAGGGTACCTCTGATGCTCTGAGCAAACATTCCCACGTTTTAATGTGCAGGATCAACACAGGAGACTCTTCTAAACTTAAATCTGCAGATGGTTTTTAAATTGTGGTGTTTCTATATGAAATATTGAATATATATATTGAATATATTGAAATTCATTGAAATATATTGAAATTCATAGGAAATGGGGCATAACAGTTAAGGACAGGCCACGTTTTAAAAGGTTTTGCTCCCTAGAGCCATTTAGAAATCCACCAAGAAGTGATTGGTGATAAGAATTTGATTCTGATAAGAATTTGATCATTTAAGTCAGTTTTTAATTGCTAACAAAATCCTTCCAATTTTCTTTCAGTAATTTCCAGGAATAGCACGCCCATAGCAATTTTTACCACTTGAAACTAAATACAAGATGCATTGACTTTGGCAAAAGACTGTGGAGATTTTATATTTCAAATTAAATGGGTTTTGTTTGGGTAAGATGGTATTTTCCATTGAAATTATCATTTTCTACAAAGTATCAGTCTATTCATTTACCACTCTCGAATGCTGGAAACGAGAAATTATTCAAAATACAGCTTAAAAAAGGTACATTCTTAATGTACATTAATTAAATGATTAATTTTAATTACTTAATTAATTATTAATTATTTAATATAATATGTACATTATATTAATGTACATTAAGTACAGGGTTAATACATATGAAATAAACAGTTCTGGTCTATACACATATTTATTTTTTGTTTAGATTTTTAGATTTTTTAGATATTTAGATTTTTTTGTCTTAATATACAGAATTTTATTAACTGTTGTTTGAAACTTTAAGTGTAAAAATTCTCACAACACTTTGTTTTTTTCTCAGTCACAGGTGAACCATCATCCACCCAATAATGAAACTTATCAGGAAAGGTTGGCACGATTAGAAGGCGATAAAGAGTCTCTCATCCTGCAGGTATGTGCAAAAGAGACAAGAACATTGCAGTGTTGATCTCCAATGCATAAAAGCTGAAGTGGCAGAGTATTTCCTGGGAAACAAATGCCAAGTGTAACTGATATTTAAGCAGGAATTAATTTGCAATCTGTATAATCCCTTTAAATGATCTCATGGTGGGGTAACCTGTACAGGAGAGGGATGGAGCAGCAGTAAAAGGGGAGAAGGGGATGACAAAGGGGTTAAAAATAACTTTGTCCCAGGCCACTGCTGGGATGGTGGCTCTCATCCCAGGTTTGCCAGGTTGTGTCCCTTTTCTAGCTCTGGTGTTGCACCATTTTTAATGAGCCAGAAGACTGCCAGCAATACAGAACTGGTATTTTTTCTGTTTATATGCTGCACCAAAATTGTTCTCATCATTGAAAAGCTCAAGGGGGAGGGAAAGAGAGAAAAGTTGACAGTAAAATACATGCCTGAGCTCTTCCAGGTTTCCTGTTTCTCAGTTTACCAAGCCTTTTTCAAAGAGATCCCGTGGAAGTTCTCCTGGAGAAAACACATCTTGCACAACTTAAATAATTATTTTTTTTTTCTGTGTATTCTAGCCAGTACTAAACTGCACATTCCGTGCTTTTTCAAAACTGAAGATGGAGATTATTTAAATGGTATTTTCATATTTCCCTTCATGCTTTCAAATGCATAAGCAGATATATTTCTATCAAACAAAAGTGCAGGGTGTTGGGTGGGTGCTCTCCCTGCTTTCAGTCCCAGGTTTCTGTAAACTTGTTTTATCCTGTACCTTCTGCTCACACTTGTGTTCATTTACTGAGCAGGAGCCTCACTGCTGTTGTTAAATAAACAATAAATGTTTTGAGACACAAGCTTTGGCTTGGTTGGGGATATATTTTTATTTTTTTCATTACTGTTGAACTAGATTGCTGTTTACCAAATTTAGGAAAAAAAAAAACCCACACCTGACTGTGAAACAATTTTCTGGTTGGAATTTTAGTGTGTGCTCCAGATTCTCTTTACATCTGATATTCATTAGAATATCTTTTGTATTTTTATTTTATATTTTTATTTCTATTTAATATTTTTATTTTATATTTATATTTATTATAACATCTTTTATATTTTTATTTTAATTTCATATTTTTATTTAATAATTTTATTTAATATTTATATTTATTATAGCATCTTTTATATTCTTATTTTTCTTTTATAGTTTCATTTTATCTTTGTATTTATTCTAACATATTTTATATTTTTATTTTTATTTAATATTATTATTTTATATTTATATTTATTATTATATATTTCCTATTTTTATTTTATATTTATACATATTATAACATCTTTTATATTGTATTTTTATTTCATATTTTTATTTCATATTTTTATTTTATATTTAGATTTATTATAACATCTTTTATATTCTTATTTTTCTTTTATAGTTTCATTTTATCTTTGTATTTATTATAACATATTTTATATTTTTATTTTTATTTTATATTTTTATTTTATATTTATTATTATATCTTTCATATTTTTATTTTATATTTATACATATTATAACATCTTTTATATTTTTATTTCTATTTCATATTTTTAATTTATATTTATACATATTATAACATCTTTTATATTTTTATTTCTATTTCATCTTTTTATTTTATATTTATACTTATGATAACATCTTTTATATTTTTATTTCTATTTCATATTTTTATTTTATATTTATATTTATTATAACATCTTTTACTGACCAGGTGGCTGTTAACACTAAAATCTTGCTTCTATTAGTAACAGCAAGCAACTTTTCACTCTGTACATACATGTTTTGAATGCATGAGCAGCTCCTGAGTGCAGAGACAATCAGGAGGGCAAATCCAGCTGTTCCCTCCAGAGGTGAGGGTGGAACTGGAGCTCCCGTGGCTGTGAGGTTCTCCTTCATTCCTGATGTTTGTGTGCAGTGCTGTGACCTGAGCATCAGCCCTGGTGAGCTGAGGAGCCCTGCAGGATGTCCCAGCCCCAGGATGTGCTCTCCCTCTCTTCCTCCTGCACATCTCCAGGAATGATTTGATTTCTTATCCCTGCAGCCTGTCCCAGCCCCAGGATGTGTTCTCCCTCTCTTCCTCCTGCACACCTCCAGGAATGATTTGCTCTCCCTCTCTTCCTCCTGCACATCTCCAGGAATGATTTCTTCATCCCTGCAGCCTGTCCCAGCCCCAGGATGTGCTCTCTCTCTCTTCCTCCTGCACACCTCCAGGAATGATTTCCTCATCCCCACAAACAGGGATGCAGCCAGAAAAATGCACAAAACACAGGAATTTGTGACACGCTTTGGGACCTGCCCAGAGGGGTTTTCTGGAAGGAATAGAGCAAAATCAGAACTGGAAAATGTCCCATCACTTCCACCCCCACCAAACCCAAAGGCTCAGTCAATATTTATGGATTTCCCTCCATGGCTGTGGAGCTGCAGAACACCCCAGGCAAACAGGGCAGACCAAAACCTCAGTCTGGAAGATGAGCATCAACAACAGCCAAGATGCCAAGGTGGAGCTGGGCTTAGGACCTGCTTTACACCAGTTCTCCTGTCCAGGCAGCCAAAGCTGAGGGGCACAGACCAGCCCCAAGCTGAGGTTCTGTGGCCTGAGGGACTGTGCTGGGACAAACCTGGCTGACCTTTGGCAGGAGGGATGAGAAAGGAAGGGAACAGAGCTCCTCTGCCCTGTGGCTCATGCTGAGTTGCACCAGCAGCTGCAATCTGGGTGGAAGATGAGGCTGGGAGCGCTCCAGGCTTCCCTCAGACTTACAAACCTTTCTAACACTCGATTTTTAGCTACATGTTCAATGCCTCTCACTTTTGCAGCAAATACATCACCTGCAGGCTGAGCCTGTTGCCCTCCTAAGGCAAGGTGGAATTGCCAGCGTAGCTTAAATTGGGATTTTGTTCTGGGTGCAGCCTCTGGGCTCCTTGAAGAGTCTGGCAGAGGGGAAAATATGAGCTCCAAGTGGCTGATGGAACACCCAACACATGCTTCTAAAGCTCTGTTCTTCATTAAATTCCCTTGCAGGTCACATTTAACATCCACAGTTTTCCCTCCAGGTGTTAATGATATTTAAACCTGAGCTGATGCTCTGAATAAAGCTGTTTTTCTTTCTCTGGAACTTGCATCAAGGAGAGAATTTGGTTTGTTTCTCCGTGCCTTCTGAGGGTTTTTTGTGTCTTATCCCTCATTTAAGGGGAACAAAACAAAGTGGAGAAGCAACAGATTTCCCTGCAGGGAATTCTCCTGCCCCAGCTTGGCTGTGTCCCCCTGCCATGTGCCTCCACCCATCCTTCCTAGCACCTCTCACCCCGAGTTCAGCTGTGCTCTGAGCCAGATACTTCAATAGAGAAAAAAAAATAAGCAGTATTTTCCTTTTCTTTCTTTTTTTCTCTGTGATTCTTTCCCAGGCATGCTTGGCATCGTGTCTGCAGGCAAAAGAAATACAGATCTCTCCTTCTGCAGCTTCCCTGAAGTGAACTCCATTGTCCACTGGGTTTTAAACATGCTTAAAAGTTCCATTTCCCCACACTGTACATTTTTATTATATTTTATTAATAAAGGTGTTGCAGGGTTGGATGTGAGAGCATATATAAGTTTATTTTAGTGCTTTTCATTCAAAATGGAGTTTAAACACCTTAGGCTCCTTTGTTTGTTGGTTTTAGATAATATTTAGATAATATTAGATTTATTATTATCTATAATATATCTAAATATTAGATAATATTTCTGAATCATCAAGGCTTTTATACAAATAAATAGTCAAAATGAATATACAAAGTTTATGTTCTTCCTACCATAAAAATTATCACTGGGGTTTTTCTTTATATCTTTCTAATGTTTTCCTGGGTGCAATTTTTTCTGTTTTGCAAGATTTGGGTTTGTTTTAGATATTTTTTCTAGAATCATCAAGGTTATTATATAAATAAATAGTCAAAATGAATATACAGAGTGTTAGTTCTTCTTAAGAATTATCACTGGGGGTTTTCCCATGTCTTTCCAATGTTGTCCTGGGTGCAGTTTCTTCTGCTTTGCAAGACTTGGGTTCAGCTGCTGGGCTTTTTTTATTGTATTGTATTATATTAAATTTTATATATTTCTATTTCTATTTATTATATTTATTTCTAATTATTTATAATATTTATTTATAATTATTATATTTATTTATTAGGTTTATTCTGGCACTCCCTTCTCTGTACCACCATTCCCACAGTTCTTTATTGTTTCTTTTCCTGGGATTCATTGTCTGTATCTCCCTGCTTTTGCTGTCATGTTTTGACTTGCCAAAGCCTGGGAATTTTTGCTGGAATAGAACTTCGCCACAGCTAAAATTTGCCTTTTACTCACTGCATTCTTTATAGCTGCAGAACTCTTTATTGATAGGGAAGCCATCAACAGAGTTTTGTTCTTGTAAGAAGTAAATTAATTGGTTGGGTTGGGAATTAGAAGTTTTCCTGCTTATCTGTTTTAGGGAGTGAAATGCCAGCAGAACCCGAAATGGCGATGCCTGCTCCAAAACCACATGAAATATTTCCTGTATCCTCCATTCTTGTTTGCTCCTTTCCAATTTTCCAGACTTTTGCATGAAGGGACCCAAGCTACCAGTGGCAAGCATTCCATCTCCTCTTGAAATGCCCTTTCTTTTTTATATCAAAACAAAACTGTTGCAGGGGAGGGGAGCTGGGAGGGCGGGGTTGGAGCAAAATTGAGGTAAGGCTGCAAAAAACTCTGTCTTGGTAGAGCAGGTTGCTGCAGTGCACCAGAACATTAAAGCACTGAGGGCTTTGGAAGGGAACTTCTTGTCAAAACGTGCATTTGGATGTTATATGCATAAGGTAATTGAAACTTATTTACAGTCAGTTCAGTAGCACTGTGCTTCTCCTCTCCAATTACAGGTGAGTGTTCTCACAGACCAGGTGGAAGCTCAAGGAGAGAAAATCCGGGACTTAGAAATCTGTCTTGAGGGGCATCAGTTGAAGCTGAATGCTACAGAAGAAATGCTCCAACAGGTAAAAATCAGGATTGGAGAGCTTCCTGCACAACCTCCTCCAGCTCTGGGGTGAGCACACACGGTCAGCTCGGCTGCCTGTGTGACAAAAGGATAAAACAGGGAGAAAATTTATAAAAAAAAAGCTTCTTTTATTGTTCTCCTCCTGCTTTGCACTTCCCCCCCCACCCCACCACTCCAATAAATGTTTCTTTGTTTTCCTGTTGCAGAAAAGTTTTACTGGCTGGTTGCATAATGCCCTACGTGGCAGCATGTGAAATGAAAGTATTGTGTCTTATTTGAACTGTGCTGATTTGGACATGGCTGAGTAACTGGTTAGACAGGTTAAATGGATCTAATACATGTAGCAGTTCTGGAATTAAGAGGTTTTATTTAAATGCCTTCTGTTTTCCTATGGCTTTGGAGTTGAACAAGCAGCAATTTGAAATGAATTACTGTATCATGTCGTGTTCTATAACCATTTTCTCTTCACTTTGCAGCTTTCCCCTTACTTTGATATGAGAAAAAATTTTTAGTATGTAAGGTCATTTTTTCTTTATTTCAATCAACATTTTCGGGCTGTGTGATTCCATTTTTGCTTTTTGATGTTCTCTGTTGAGGGAGCAGAGCAAATGATAAATTAAATACCTTACAGAACTTGCAGGTCTGTTGATGCCAAAGGTCCTTCCCTTTGTTTTTACAGATGCAGACCATCCACTGTTAATGTACATAGATACCAAAAAGAGATTTGAAACTGTAAATAAGCCTCAAAAATCTATGCCAGAAACTTTTAGGATAGATGCTGCTCTCTATGAGCCTAGCTCTTCTCCCCACACAAATATTTTGTGTTATAAATTTGCTATTTGAGTCCATGTGATATACACAAGCCTTTCTCTGAACTGATCCAAGCTTTAAATTATGATAAGGATCCTTGTGCATATGTATGTAAACAGCAGCAGTTTCTATAAGGTAACATTGCAACCTAAACATTTTAAATGATAATTCTCAGAGGTTCTTGAAGAAAACCTTCCATCTCACACAGTCCAAAATGCTTCCAGCTGGGAAAGGTGGTGTTCTGAGGAGACACCTAAAAATGCAAACAGCAAGTGCCTGTAGTTCTCCAGTGAGGTCTGAAGTGAAACTCGAAGAACAGTGATTATTTAAGTGGTGAAAATCTCTTTTCACACTCCAAAAGCATTCACAACAGAGTGCAGCAGCTTCCTGCTCCAATCTAAAGCTGCCCTGTGACTTCTGCTAAACCCATTTATTCTTCCTCTGACTTAAAGTTTTTTGCCTAGATAGTATTCTGAGGAAGCTGTGAATTTAAAACCTTATTTGCCAGAACACTGAGGCATCTGAAAATAGAATATGATGTTGTATGAACGTTTCCATTTCAGTGAAAATCTTTGCATCTGCTCGTCTGGCACGAACGGCCAACAAAGCTGATCCTGAAGGGATAAAGGTGATAAAGTGAAAAGGCTCTACCAAAGCTAAAGAAGTCAGAGAATCTCCACATATGTCTAAAATAAGCCTCAAATCTGAATTTTGGCGATAATTTCAATCTGAATTTGCTGTAGCTGTTGTTTCTCCCAGCAGACAGTGGGATATGGGAAACCCAAGTCAGACCTCTCGGCAGTCAGAGAAATTGAACTTTTATTGTCTCAGCAGATCCCATTTAACATCATTCATTCTGAAGGTTCTCTTCTCAATTCATCTTGTTGAAAAGATTATCCTCCATGGGGGATAAGTTGAGATTTGGGCAGAAGAGAATGACCTGATCAAGGGGTGATTATGACATTCATGGGAGATATGTGGCCAGGGGACTTTCCTGCAGATAATTTGTCAGAACCAGAGTGAGTGTGTGGCCTCAGGGGCTTAAATAGATGGATCAGTCGGGTTTGGGGGAGAGTTGAGCTCAGATCTCCTCAGCCAGCAGCTGCTGCTGGTGTCCTGCTTTTCAGAATGACTTCTAGAACCCTCTCAGGAGGGGATGTAGTGTAAATTCAGGTTTATTTCATGGCTCTGCTTCCTTATTTACAATATATTGAACTCCACTGATTTTTGTCTTTGTGAACTTAAGTCAGCTGCTCCCTCTAAATGGAAAATGGAACAATAGAGTTAAAAAAAAAAAAAAATTCCTGTCTTTTTAATTTCAAGAACTATAAGAAGAGTGATTCATAATTAATTCTGTGCAAAAAAATAATATGCTTCAATAAAAAAAAAAATCAACTTTAAGATAACCTAATGATGGTATCTGGAAGTTCCACAGCAGAAAGGGTATCTAAGTAGTGCAAAGTAGTTTTTGCTGAATCTGTGCTAGCAGAGACTTGTCAGGGTGGGGTTGCTGGCAAAAAAATCCTTCTGGCTTATGATTTATGCACAGTTGTTTTGAACCCTGCTGCAAAGCAATCATGGAACCACTTCTGAAACAGCACCTGAAATAAAAGTTACACAAATAACATAAAGTGGCTGTTTTGGGTGGGCATCCTGGATGGGGAGCAGCAGCAAGAGAGGAGAAAGCCTCATTCTCCTTTCATCCTTCTCCCTCCTCCTGACCTTGTGGTTTCTGCAAACTGATCTGAGACTCAGCAAAGCTGGGAGAAAAAATCCACTTTAGTTTTTTGGTTGTTTTTTAGTTTTTTGGTGGTGCTCTGGTGATGGCTGAGCCCAGCAGCTCACAGGACACGGTGTGCCAGAAGGGCAGGGGGGAATTGTGCTTTCAGCTCACTGGTTATGGAATCCCAGCCAAGGAAAATGGAGCTCAGCAGCCTTTGAGGATCCTGAGGGAGAAATGCCCTGGTGTGCACAGCCACAGGGATGCTCAAAGGCACCAAACACCACATTTCACTTTTGTAAGGACACTTCTTCCACCACAGGTTGTAATGAACAAAAGTGGTTTTCCACCTTGAAGGTGTCTGCGTTTTCTTCCTTCCAAAACACCAAAAGGAAGCAGGCCTTTTCAAAACTCATGAAAGCCAGTGGCCAAACATTCATTTGGTCCTGAAGCATGATTCAGGTTTGGGCCAAGAAACAAGCTCACTCCTCACAGTGTAAGAGAAGATTTTCTGGAATATGGCTGGGAGCAAGACGCAGGTTTAATCTCGTGGAATTACCTTCCAGTGGGGAGTCTGTCCTGCCACTGCTGGCCTGTGTGAGCACCTGCCTTTCCCCTCAGCACATTGTAATGCAGATGTCCAGGAGTAAAATTAAAAAACCTCCTAGAGTTATCCTAGGAAAGCAATTTATGCTGTGACAGTCCATTTCCAGAACAGCAGCTGCTTTAAGCTGTAAAGTTACAGCAAGTTTTAGAGAGCAATGATGTGTGTGTTTGTGTCTTGTTGTAAGTCACTTTGTGGCATTACTAAGAACTTCCCTCCAGCCCATTTTAAGAAAAAAATGTATTTTTTGGAGAGGAGAGAGAGCCTTGGGTGGAATCTCCTATCAACATGCTGTAGAATTGGAAAGCAGAAGTCATTTTTGCTCCATGAAGTTGCCTGAACTGTCCCATAGCAGAGAGTACCAGGCATGCCCAACACAGACACATCAGTGCTGTGGAATCCCTGCTGCCAGCTGAAAAGGGAACCTCCTGCACAAGCACCTTCCACCTCCACAGCTCCTTTCCCTGCATTTCTTGGCAATTATCACGAGCAATTCTAGTTTGTTACCTCTTTGCTACCCCACAGCTGCATTTTATTTATTGAACAGACTGTGGTTTCCATTGAAGCTCTCTGGCATGAGGGACAGCAGTTTGCTGTCCTTGCTGTACCTGACCTGAACCACATCCTAGATGTGCTCTGACCGTGGCTTTGTGCCTTCCAAATAATTTCTGACACAACCTAGGGGACTCTGGATGGTTTTGTTGTGTGAATACCATCATGTCTTCAAGTGAATTCTCTTGAAAGGTACGAAGGGCTTGGTTTTAGGATTCCCTGTGTCCATTAAAAAACCACACATAAAACCTGAAATGTCTGGTGCAAACAGGAGTGGGTCTCTGTTCTCCTGTCATTTTATGGCCCACTTGTGCCTGGGTGAGAGGGCCAGAGGAAGGTGTGCCAGACAGCAGAGAACCTTTTAAACAACCTGATGAAAAGAATGCAGGGAGGAGCTGTGTCAGAGTAGGAATTGGATCCAACACAGTGCAGCGTGTACCTGCCCTGGTTTTGCAGTTGTCTCCAACTTAGAGGAGCCAGAATCCTGTCTTGGTTGCAGGGTATGAATCTGCTGTGTATCTGTTTGCTCCTCAGGAGCTCTGCTGGCTGGCAAAAACCATTCCTCCAGCTTTCAGTTGCCTGAGTTATCTGATCTTAGACGAATTTCAGCACTTGTTTATAGCACGGGGGAGCTTCTTGCCAGCAGCTGGCTCGGTGTTTCAGATTTTGAAGCGAGCTCTGGTCGAGCTCTGAGGTTTTCAGAGCTCCCAAGCTGTGCAGATTTATCTCTCCAGGTGAGCCTCCCCTTGCCTTGCTCTCTCACAGCTAACGTGGGCAGGAATCTGCTCCTCAGGGCTGCCCAAGTTGGCAGGGCTGTGGCAAAGCTCTGTCCTCAGCCATAAAATGGGCAAATGATGGATTGGAGGGCTGTAATTCCCTGCCTGCTGCTGCCTTGCACCATTTCATGGTGGTTGCACACGTCCATCGCTCTCAGCTGTGTTTCCAGCTAAGCAAATATCTTATTTCTGCCACAGCTGACACACAGCCCTTGAGAAGTGCAGCCCTCATTGGGGCTGCTTCTGCCTGCATTTTGCTTCCCAGGTAGGTGGCTTGGTCTGTCTGTGTCTCTCAAGGCTTTCAATAAGGGGTGAAAAATAAGGAATTTTTCAAATGTTGTATTTTGTACAAGTGCAAAATGGGATCTTTGGGTTTGTTGGGGTTTTTTTTTTCTCCCCCTCCTCACTTGACTAAAATCTTACTTATGGTTTCTCAATCAGTGCATGGCGTGATTGTTTCTGTTTTGTGGAGAGTTAAATATCCTGGAATTTTCTGTGCTTACAGCTGAGAGCCCAAAACATTGTACTTGAAATGTCCTCTTTTCAAGCTATTTTTGCCACGTTACATTTCATAAACTGCTTTATAAGAATTATATATTTGCAAGACAACTAAATGTGGGAGTGAGCTATTCAGCATGTGCTACAGCTTCATTGGGAATATTGGAAAAGTTGATTAAGTATCTTAGAAATCTCTACAGTGTGAGTTTTAAAAAGTGTGTTGTGTTTGGAAATAGTTTGCAGTTCTTTGATGTGTCTGGCACACGTATATCATCGCTTCTGCACGCCTCCTCACTTTTTAAAGTTAAAAGCTGAGTTTAGAAAAAGGACTCCAGGAAGGTAAATTACACTTACATAGTAAAGTGTAATTTTAAATTTTAAATTTTGCCATTTTAAAACTAAAAACAAGTGTCTTGTTTGTAAAGAAGAGTCGCTAGGATGTGTTCTTATATCTGTTCTATTTCTCAGCTAAGATCCTCCTAAAGCTGCTACAGCCTAAATTGCCATTTTGCCTGTCTTATATTATCTTCTTTTTTTTGCTTTCAAACCAATAACATAAATTTGTATTTTCCTTTCTTGCAATTGCATATTTATTCTGGCTGAATTCAAGTTGCATCGTACCGCTGAAATACACTATAATTTCTCTGTAACAAAATGGTTCACATTCTTAATGAGCTGTTCACTGTGAGCATCTGCTTGAGGATGAAAATAATTGCTTCCAGATGTTCCTGTTTCAAGAGGAGACATTTACTTTAAAGGGCACTTGCTTTCAAAGCAGAAGTTGGGTCCTGTGGATGAGGGAGGAATTGTCAGCTGTTTTAAATCACTGCAACTCCATTGAAAACAAACCAGGGCTGCTTCGCTGCTCTGCCTATTTTAAGTCACGAGGTCCATGCCAGTTCACCCCAGCTGAGAATCTGATCCCCCCAGCTTCAGAGCAAATTGTAAAATTTCGTTTGAGCTGATTTAAAAACAAAACAAACCCAGGCAGCTGCCTTGGTGCTGGCTTGTTCCAGGTGCTGGCTCCGTGTTCACACAGAGCTCCTGAGCTCGGGGTGAGAGGAGTGAGTGTGGATTGCTCTCCACTGCATAACTGAGGGTAATTTAGGGGTCTGGAGGAAAAATAAGGAGTAAAGCCAGATGGTGCACTCAAAGGATAGATCTTTTGTTTAAAATCCCTAGAGGGATGCTGTGGCTCCTTGCCTTATTAAGAAATCTTCCCCCCATATCATGGAATACCATGTCAGTGTCCAAAAAAAATCCTAAATGTTGTTTTAGCTCAAAAGTGAATAGAGTCTGTCCATGGGGCCAGAGCTGCCTCATCCTGCCTGTCTTTCTGATGTTCTGTGGCCTTATTTCATATCAAAGCTCCCATTTTTAACTCTGCCTTAACCTGCAGCAGTCTCCTATCTCAAGAGCTGTGCAGAGCCTGTTCCAGTCTGGACTGGGATGTGCCTCTGAAACCCCTGAAAATTAACTTTTTTCTGGAAGACAGAGGAGTTATTTGTAATTATAATTGTAATTTATAATCACCTGTGTAGAAAGCAGCTCCTCCTGGGGTTTCATTAAGCGGTTGCCTCTTAGAGTTTCTCAATCAGAAAAGTCAGTGCAATACCTTTCCCTGATGAGTGCTTGGTTTATTTCATTGGGAGAAGAAAAAGAAAGGAAAAAAAGCCCAAACCATGAAGTTCCATTTCTGTTCATTTTCCCATCCATCCCCAAATATCATTGCCAATGTCAGCAGGAATGGGCAGGGCACTGGGAATAGTGGGTGGTTTAGATAATTGGTGTTGCAATACAGATGCAAGTTTAGTACTATTTTTAATTTGTGCAATATTGCCCACCAGACTAAAATAACTTACATGTGAAGCAGATTTTGAAATAAACTTTAACTCTGTAATCTTTGAAATAACCTTTGTGGTTTGCCCAAGCTGTGGTGTACAATGTACTCTACAGTTTGGGGCAGAGGAGATGAGAAAAGGGTGCAGGACATGGTGATTTCTGATCCCTCAGTAAAACACCAGATCCAGATTCAACTTCAGCTTAATCACTCCATGTGATTCTGCTTTGATTGTGGGATTCATATGATCAGCACAGTAGTGGGATTTATGAAGTATCATAAAACCTTTTAACCATTTGGAAGCCTGCATTCTCCTGTTAAAAATCGATTTGCCACTTGGAAAATTAAGTGTGAATTTTTCAGGAAGGCTCAAACTCCCCATGGGGCTTTTTTCTTTTTGAAAACAGGGGTGACAGAGGCATTTGATATATGTAATGCACTCTGTTAAATTTTGGATGGTTTCCTGCCTTGGCTTTCCTGAAAAATGAACAATTCAGTGAAGGTGTGAATGTTGATGCTGATATGACTCCACCCAAAGCATATCTGCTCTGCAATCTGGAAAACAAACCTGGGGCACACAAGCAAAAGCCACTAGCAGTTGTTTTTCCTTTGGAGTGTTTCTTAGTTTAGACATTGCCTTCTGGGCTCCTGTTAGGAGATTTCACCCACTGCAGTTCCCTCCAGCAAAAGCCAGCAGGTACTACAGGGTGTAAGTTACTATTTGTTGGTGCTGCTTGCTTTTGCTGCTCAGTTTGGGTTCAGGTGCTCATCCTGCAATACATCCTTTATTGGAAGGATTAACAGTCCTAAATTATTATTAAATATTAAGGATTAACAATGTGAAGGTTTGCAAGGTAACCCTAAACCATCCCTTGGGCTGATGAGTGTTTTAGGAAGACGCCAGCTCTTTTGTAATGTGCCATTATTTAGGTTTGGGTCTGTTCAGCCTTGGTATTGTTTTTGATTTCATGTCTAGCCCAGGGATTAACTTTGCCACACATTTGCCTTGAAATCAGGAGTGGGACACGGTGGTTTGGTGATTAACACAGAACATTTAGATGAAAACAACTTGCAGCACTTGAGAAAGACGCTGAGGGTTCAAGCTGAGGGTTTAATGTGAAAGAAATACATGGCAGTGCTCACATAAATAACTGGGGAAAATGTTGTGTTGTGCTCTCAGGAGCTGCTGAGTCGCACGTCTCTCGAGACCCAGAAGTTAGACCTGATGGCTGAAGTTTCAGACCTGAAGATTAAGCTGGTTGGAATGGAAAAGGAGCAGAGTGAATATGAGGAGAAACAGAACAAAGCTGAGGTGAGTTTTTTTCCACTGGCTTGTTTTAACTCTTTTCCATCGCGTGTCCGTGGTGCTCTGCCCCACACCTGAGCTTTTGGGCTGAAATCAGCAGGGAACAGGATTTTCCTGTGAATTCAGGGAGGAGTGCCACGGTGCATTTCTGCAGAAAACACTGCCAGGGGTGCCACAAGCACTGAGGTCGGGGATTTTAATGTCTTTTTGTCACTTGGGAGGGCATTTGCCTCAAATGTCTCTTTCCCCTTGTGGCTACATAATAAATAGTGCCAAAAAACATCATGGGCTGGAGGCAATTCCAGCCCTTGGTCCCTTTCAGATGTGGGAGAGTTTTGGACATCAAAGGAGCTTTGCTGTATTGGTTAAAAAAGAGAGTATGGAACAGAGAATTCATCTGAGCAACATCCATATCGTGGTGCTGAGCAGCAGGAGGGGAGGAAAGAGAGAAATTCATACAAATTGCCATGTGCTGTCCTACTCAGTGGTGCTGTAAGGGGACCAGCTAGCAGGAGAGGACTGCCTGGAAAGGAACAGCACCAGGAACTGTTTGCTCTCCACAGCTCTGCCAGTGGAATAGGTGATAAGTGTGCATCAGTACATAGCTCATTTGGGGTGTGCTTGCTTCCAGCTTATTTATCCTCTGAAGTTTTCTTTAGAGATTCAAAGATAACATGAAGAGAGCGATCTCTGGCAGAACCTGCAAGCCAGAGAGGCACCAGCTGCCGGTTTTTACCACCTGTGGCCCTTCTTGTGCTCTTTCAGGTGTAATTTTCACCTGAAAAATTGTGAAAATTTTTTTTCACAGTTAAAAAATTTCATCAATTTTTCGATTTGTGTACCTCGTGTACCCTGAGCACTCTCAAGCTTCCCAAAAATCTGCACAGGTCTGAGCAGCACCTGCTGGCTCCAGCCTGCTCCCAGTGTGGAATTCAGGAATGGTTTGGGCAATCCTTGCAGGCACAGCCTGGCTCCTGGACAGCAGTGCAGATTTTGGGGGGTGTTTTTATGGACAGCACTTTGGGGGTGCCTGGGAGCTGTGGAATTCTGCAAGTGAGGTGTGTGTGCCCCCTCGGGTGGAAAAGCTGAGCTCTGAACAGCCTGGGTGGCATTGCCAAGGCACAGGGACAGGTTCCTGCTGAGATGGAAAAGGATCCTGATCTGATGGAAAAGCTGAGAATCCTCGTGTGGAGCCTGCTCTGAATTATTAACCAGCCCGAGGTGGGGTTGGGTTTCTGGAGTGCTGAAAGTGGCACAGCTTTGCCAGGGGAAAAATGGGTGTTCTAAGGAAAGCTGTGGGAAACAAAACCAGTTTTTGGTTTGCTTGCTGAGTTATTTGTGTATTTATTTCAGATTCCCCTCAACAAGCATTAATCTCATTTATCAGGAGTTGCTTTCAATCAGATTGGAAGTTTAGTTGCATTCTAATGCTTTAACCCTGTTTCTGCTCCTTTTCCTGTAAATTACAGTAATTTTTCAATACAGACACAACTTCAAACATAAGGATGGAATTTATGAATTAATTAATTTTCTTTCTTAGACTACATCTTTGACAAAACCAGTCTGCCTGTAGTTTGCTCTTGGTTTTTGCATCCAGCAGTTAAACCATTTTAAACAGCTCATTCATGATACTTCATGGCTGACCCTGCAATTTCTAAATATAAGAATGGAGCTTAGAAAGTTTAAAATTCAGTGTGGCATTGCAGGATCATTCAGCTCAGCCATGTTTTCTCTGTGCTCTAATTTTGTGTCAGCTTATTTCAGAGCAGCTGTTTGCAGTCACTTAGAACTCATCTGCAGAATTGTTTTTCTGCTTGGGCTGGGAGGAAAGGGAGCAAATTAAAGCATCCTTCTGAATATGAGCAAGTTTTAATGTGCAAGATTGGTTTCACTCTATCTGGTGCAGCTGTCATTTAGGTTTGGTTTTAGCTGGCAGCAAAGAGTTTATCAAGCATCTCGAACCTCCTCTCAAAGGTATTGATTTCACACTGAATGCCACTTGTCTCTGGCTCTTCAAAAGCACATGCTAAATATAAAGTGCCTTTTATTTATATATATTACAGAGGGGCCAGGAGAATAGCTGCTTGTTCATGGCCTATGTCACTCCTGGCTTTGTCATTTTCATTCCTTTTCTGGGGAATAATGTCCTACTTTTGACAAAATAATGCCATGAAGGCTTCTGGAGCCTCACCTGAGGGGGTTGTGTAGCTTTCCTCTTACCCTAGAAGCCTCAGCAATTTTTAAAATGTGTTTTTCTTAATGTAGCAAGGTATGAGGAAGCAGCATTGTCAAAAGATTTACGGCTGTCCAGATGTCTGCTCTACCTGAACGTGGACAAAAGAGACTTTCTGTCTGTCCTGCTTCTTCCTTTTGTGCCATGGCATAGGTCTGTGGGCTTGGCTGTAAGCTGCTGGCAGGTATTTTGTGGCTCTTGTAACTTCTGAATTAAATATCTAGTGCAGAGCTACTTGCAATTCCAAAGAAACCTGAGCCACAGACTCGCTCTGGGGAGTCTGCTGCGCTGTCCCACCCGAACCAGGGCGCTGCAGTTATTGTTAATAAGGGTTTGTGCTGTGCAGGAACCTCAAAAAGGCCTTTTCTGCCTCAAAACTGGAAAGAACTGTGGAGGCAGGAGCTGGAGCTCAGCTGGGATGGGGATTTCTGCCATTCCTGTACTCCCTGTGGGCAGTCTGTGGATGCAGAGTGCTTCCCTCTCCCCTTCTCTAATGGCACAGGGGAGAATTGCAAGGTGGCAGCAGAAGAGTTTCTGGTTCCCCCCTGCCCCCACAAGCAGAGCCAGAAATCCCTGTTGGATTCTGGATCCCTGCCCTTCTCCACATCCCCGTGGGGGTTAACAGAGCTCATGCCAAAGAGTAGCACAGACCAAACCTTGGTGCTCAAAAGAAAAAGAGATGGGAGTGTGTGTGTCCTGCCCCTTCCAACCCCAGCTGCTCTGGGAGGATGGCAAAAAAACCCAAAGCTAACCCTCATTTATGTCCATTAAAGCTTTGTTGGGTGAAGGAGGATGAGCATCAGATGTTGTGATCCTGACTGAGCACAAATGTATAAAGTAAAATGTATGTAATGGCTTTTCTGAATTTCATCTTAAACTCAGTGAGCTGGAAAATCTCACTTTGGTGAAACTCTTCTGTATGAGTTAGGTAAATCTTTGTGGGTGCTGTTCCTGCCCTTGCTGTTCCCCAGCTCTAAGACTCCTGATTTTACTGCAGAATTGAGGTAACAGGAGGATTGTTGGCAGCTCTAATGAAGAAAATAATAAATAAAATTATTTGTCACATCATCTGTTGTTCCGTCCACTGAAATCTTCTTCTTTCCTTTGGAAGATGGATTAAACTCCTCAGATTTGCTCCACTTGAGATTGAAAAACCACAAAATTTATGTTATTGATGTGCATGGAAGCTAAGAGCAAGGCACTTCAAATTTGTGAGAGCTGTAAAAATACTCAGTGCTCTTTGCTACAGAGTTGGGGAATTTAGGTGAAATACCATCTAGATTTTCATACTTTGCTTTGCTTTCTAAACTGGATTTTTCGTGTGTGTGTGTGTACCACTGATACACACAAATCCAAGAAGCTGGCCAGCAAAACAATGCACTTTAAAATAATTATTTTATCTTCTGTGTTATCCTCCTGATTTCTCCTGCATCTATTGTTTAACTCCTCCTCCACGTCAAGATCCTGCCCAGATAGAGAGAAGAAATGGAGTTATTTTTATGCCCCCTGCTAGGCCTGGAAACAGAATTACTTTGCTTATAAATTCTGAAAGAGAAGGCTGCAGCCCCAGCTGAGCACTTTGCAGTTTCTTCCCACTGGATGCTTTGGAAGTGCAAATGAATGCAATCAAGCCCCACTTCAGCAAAAGCTTACCTCTGAGCCAGCATATTAAAATCTGTGCCAAATCATCCCTCACGTGACTGTAAAACTTTCTAAAAACAGTTTCTGATCTTAACTTCAGAGTCAGAATCATGAATTAGGCTGGAATGTGGATTCAGCTCCATGTAAACTGTGCCTTTGTGCAGTGTTCCAGGTTTATACTCATTCACATCTACTTTATCAGAAAGAAAACACATAATCTGACCATTTTTAATTTGCCTTTGATGTGCTTCACGTAGTTCTTTGTGCTTCAACTGTAGAAATATATATATTTTTTTTTGCCTGATTTTTTTCTCACCTGTCTATTTTTTTGTCTTTTTTTTTTTTCCCCTTTCCTCCCGTGTTTTCAGTCAGTTGTGAACCTGATCAGTGACCTGCAAGAGCAGATGTGTAGACTGCAGCTGGAAATTAATAGTAGGATCCAAGAGAGGAAGTCTCAAGATAGGAAAGCAGAGCTGACCCCCAGTGTTTCTCCCTCTGGTGCAGGAGCAGTAGAGCCTCTGGGCCAGAAGAATTGCTCTCGGTGTGAAGTACGAGAAGCACCCTTGGCAGAACCCCCTGCATTGCCTCTTCCCTCTCTTGCACAGACTAAATTCCACTAACCACAGCTGCCCTGGGAATGTTTTGGCTTTAATCTTCGTGGCTTCCATTAGCAAAGAGTGAGAGTGCCATAAAAAAAATGACCCCCAAAAAAAAATAACCTCCCATCCCAGACTCTCCACCCCAACTCCTGGGACAAATTTGGTCACTGTTGATGGCCCTCTCCCAAAGCACAGAAATCTGTAAAACCCAATCACCCCTTTCAGCTTTTTCACTGTTTCCATTTCACTTGTAAGTCTGCAGTGCTGGTGTGGGGGTTTTTTTGGGGATTTGTCTGATGTGCAGCATGCTGGCATGGTTTGGTAGTTTGCTACTTTTCCTCATGATGATGCCACCCCAGCTGTGCTTAAACACAAATTATTGATTCCTGCAGATCTTAAAAGCTTAACACAGGTATAAAACAATTTCAGCTAAGACTCTCTGACATTTACCCTTTCTTTTTCTATCGAAAGGAGCCACAGTAAAAATAATCTGCTTGTACTTTTAAAATAGCAGATCCAACACAGTTTTGTTTATTCCCTGACATTAGCAGCTGCCAGAATTTACATAACAGAACCTGATCAAAAATGTGTCACATAAATGGTTTCATTTCACTGAAGGTGGAATGATACTGGTATGCCAAGAAAAAAAACCTTTTAATATTTTACTTCAAATCAGGTTGTTACCACATCTCTTTGGTGAAATCTGCATGCCCAGAACTCATAAATAATCTGCTTGTATTGTGGGGGATTTTTTTCAGTAATTCCTCTCATAGGTTTATATTTTAAAAATAACTATTCTGCATTTTACACCTATTTTGAAAACAGTGCTGTTGTTTCTGGACTTGTGTTCGTGCAGAGCTGCTCAATGGACTATTAGAACTACAAGCTGTAGGCTGGAGAAATAATCTGAGAGTCAAATCTAGGAGTCATTCCAAATAAATCTTACTGAAATCCAAGATGCAAGTGTGGTGCTCAATGTGTGTGCTGTGCAGGAGTCCAAAATTGGGATTCTCCCCCAAACTTTTCCTTTCTTTGGTTCATTTTGAGACGTTTTTTCTTGTCAGAGCTCCATGGAGGTTTTAATAATATTGTCCTTTAGAAAGGACAAGATGCAGTTCTGTCAAGGTGTGGGAGAAGGGATATTTAAGGGAAAGCTTCTTTGAGTAGGTCACAATTTTTAGTGTGAAGGTTCCAGTGTTGAGCACCGTGTGGTTCGTGCATGAGCTGTAATTCAGAACTGTCAAAAATTAATATCTGCCAGAAAAAAAAAACCAAAACCCAAAAAAACCCTTACCTTTAATTTCCTTCTTCCTCTGCAGGGTTTGTTACAGGAGCTCAGACACCTGAAAATTAAGGTGGAAGAACTGGAAAACGAAAGAAACCAGTATGAGTGGAAATTGAAAGCGACTAAAGTAAGCAGAGTCCTTGGCATTTTCTTACTGCAGGCTCCTATCAGCTGGGAAGGGATGTGCTCCCCTTCTCATCAATATTTACTTTTCTGGCATTTACCTTGTGGCAGGGTAGCTGTGAAGTCAAGAATTCTTTAACCAGGTTTGGGATGAATCCCTTGGTTTGAAGGTGCTGTGGTTTCCTTCGTGCCCTTTGCTCCCTCCGTGCACTTTTCAGTCGGGTGCTCCTTGCAATTCTTATTTTAGGAAACCACAAAAAGGCATTTTGACTTGCAAAGAGCTGCTCAGAGTAAAGGATTCTTTGAAGGCTGGATTTGTGTAATGGTGACAAGCCTCTGTGGGATTCACTTTCCAGCCTGGAGGGACATGCAAAGTTTGTTGGGTGTTTGCTTACTATGGAATTTGTTTTCATAGACATTTATCCCAAAATACACCATGAGATCACCTGCTTTGTGTATATCAACTCCTGTTGACCTTAAATCCTGCAAAGCTGTTGGATCATAATCTGGACAAACCTGACATGTTGAATACTTAATCATTTTCCCCAGTAATTAATTTTTCTAGTGGAACATTCTCTCTGCTATTCCGAGTTTGAATTTTTAGCCCTTTTCCACTAGATTAAAAAGCACCACACGATTTTTCCTTCTTGTGCTGTAATCACAACTCTTTTCTTTCGTGTAACAATCCCTGTTTATATCAATGACTGACTCTTGAGTTGTGGCTGAATCTTGGAGAAACATTTCAAATTATTAAACTGAATTTTCTATTTAATGCTTGACAGCTTGATCCAGACATGACAAACAGCTATTATTTGTATTAGCATTTCTTTCTTTTGAGAATTCTTGGATGAGTAACAGAATGTTGCTGTCATGTCTTTTTTTTCTCATGAAGATAATAGTTCTTCAATCCATGGAAATGTTTTCTCTGACGTGGTGGAGATGAACAGTCTTTGGGAAAATATTTTCTCAAGCAGTGTGTGGCTGGCTGCCAAGACAGATAGAAATTATGGAAAAATGTAGGAGCAGAAGGAAAATGAGAAAGAAGAAACATAAAATTCACTGAGGGAGAGAAGATACAGGACTGGAAAGGAAGAAAAGTACAAGGAACGAGAGAGGAAGAAGAAAAATAATCAAAGAATTAGATTTTAAGGGAAAAGAGAGCTTTTAAAAGAGCTTTGAGATTGAATAGACCAGGGGAGGCAAACCCAGATCTGGTATGAAGAGGTCTTCAAGCTTTTATCTTCCTGTTGTTCCAGCTTCTTAGATGAGAAACTGGAATATATCCATGGCTGGATATAAAAATTAGTCAGTGGGAAGTGTAGGAGCCCTTCAGAGGTGCAGCAAGGCAGATTCCTCTATTCCACGTGGAATTTTAGGCAGAGCAGTGACGTTATCCTGCAGTCCAACCCCTTCCTTCGTGGTCAAAATGAGTTTGTGTGCTAATTAATCTGTGTTTGTCCCTATTTGGGTAATGTTGTCTGGTGTTTTGCATTTTTCCTGCTTTATTTTAGTATTTTGGGAAACTGGCCACATTCATGATTTTTTTTTTGTTATGTCCTTGTTCATTGGTTTTTTTCCTCCTTTATTCCCCCATTTTTTTTGTTTGTTTCTTTTTTTATCCTCTATCTGCAAGGAGGTTTTGTGTCCTTTTACATGGCAAAAGCAGAACTTTGACTCCCAGAGGTTTTGAGACTTCTGAAGAAAATCTTACCAAACTGACTTAGCAAAATATGCTGGTAGCAGTTTTTCTCATCAATACAAAAACCAGACCAGAATCACTGAGTTTCAAGCTGAACAATCACAGAATTCTTCTCCCTCTGTCTTGCTGAGCTCTTTCATGTGGGATTTTCTATCCAAATCCAGGGGCAGCCCTAAATTTCCAGAAAATATAAATGAACACTGGGATTTTGTTGTATGTCTGTTGTTGCTTTCCAGGCTGTGCTTTCCTGCTATCCTCTTTGGTGTTTTGAGGAAAAACAGTTATCTTGCTGAGAAGGCTCAGCATTAATAGATTCTCAGTTGTTGTTGTTGTTGTTGTTATTATTATTATTATTAATTATTATTATTATTGTTGTTGTTGTTGCTGTTGTTATTGTTGTTCTTATTATTATTAATAATAACAATAATAATAAATAATAATGTATATTGATATTAATATTGATATTAATTATATTATTTTATTAATATTACTATTGTTATTATTAATAATATTTTATTAATATTAATAATATTGTATCCATATATTTACATATATATACACTTATTAGTATAAGTAGTAACTAGGATTAAAAATAACCACTATTTTAGTTTAAAAATCCTTTGATATCTTTTAGAGGTCTTCATGCAGAGTTTGAGTTCCCTATAATAGTTGTTTATTATTATTATTATTATTATTATTATTATTATTATTATTATTTTTAAATTTATTTATTTATTTATATTATTTATAATATGTATGTTATTTATATTAATAGTATTGTTGTTGATATTATTAATAGTATTTTTATTAATATTAATAATAATATATCTATATATTTTTATATACACACAATTATTAGTATAAGTAGTAACTAGGATTAAAAATAACCACTATGTTTAAAAATCCTTTGATATCTTTTAGAGGTCTTCATGCAGAGTTTGAGTTCCCTATAATAGTTGTTGTTGTTATTATTATTATTAATAATAATAGTAATAATAATAGTAATAATAATAATATACCAACTTTGTAGCATTGAGAGCTTTCCAGAGTTTCCTTACCTGCATAAATCCCTGGGAATTTTACCTTTCTCTGTACCTGTCTCCTCCAAGAACTGATTGCATGGGGAAAAATGAAATTCTCTAGTAGCAATAGCAGCATAAATAAATATGTCCAGCTGTTTGTGAAATATCCTGAGTTGGTAACTGGCCTCAACCACAGGTGTATGCTCTGAAATCTTCTCATTCCAGGGATAGAATCCCAGAAACTGAGGGTGGGGAAGTTATTCTGACTTTTCTGGGCTCTTTTTCAGGCTGAGATTGCGCAGCTCCAGGAGCAGCTGGCTCTCAAGGATGCAGAGATAGAGCGCTTGCAAAGTCAGCTCTCCAGGACCTCCTCCTACACAGAAGTGGCAGAAAGAGGTAAGAGGAAAAGAACCAAAATTAAGAATTCAGAACCCTACTTGGACTTTGCTTTGGTGGCAGCTTGGCTCAGGATTGCAAAGGGATACAAAGAAATGCAAGAATGGACTTAAAATTAATTAAATTAATTCTGTGTTCTGGTAGAGGCCTTCAATGTGTGAAATTCTATTCCAGTCTAGAGGCAGCACAAATTGAAACAAGCACAAGGCCCTGAAACTTTTTCTGCAAGTGTTTCATTTATTGTTGTAAAGACTCATTGTGGTTCAATGGGAATTCATTTTTCAGGTATACCTTGAAAATGTCTTTGAAAAATCTTTAGAGTTTCTGTTTTTTAAGGGTAAAAGCCTAATGTTTCACCCTAAAATGTAAAAAAAGTGAGTATTTACTTCCTTTCTTCATGGCTGTGTCTCATTCACTCCCTGTCCCATGAAAGTTTGCACCAGCTGGATTTTCAGTGTCCCTGCCAGCCCAGGCTGGTTTAGGGCTCTCTGACATTGCAGGTTTCTGGTTAAAGCCTGCACTGTTGACACAGGTCAGTGGCAAATAAACCAGTTTGTTTGGCCTTTGGTCTCAAGCAGCAGTGCCACAGCTCTCTGAAATATCCACTGAAAGCTATTCACTGAAAACTGTCCACAATTCTCTGAAATATCCACTGAAAGCTATTCACTCTAAACTGTCCACAATTCTCTGAAATATCCACTGAAAGCTATTCACTGAAAACTGTCCACAATTCTCTGAAATATCCACTGAAAGCTATTCACTGAAAACTGTCCACAATTCTCTGATATATTCACTGAAAGCTATCCACAGCTCTCTGAAATAGTCACTAAAAACTATTCACTTAAAACTATTTACTGAAATCTATCCACAGTTCTCTGAAATATTCACTAAAAACTATCCACAGCTCTCTGAAGTATTCCCTGAAATATATCCACAGCTCTCTGAAATACTGTAAACTATCCACTGAAATTTATCCACAGTTCTCTGAAATATTCACTGTAAACTATTCACTAAAATCTATCCACAGCTCTCTGAAATATTCACTGAAAACTATTCACTGAAATTTATCCACAGTTCTCTGAAATACTCACTGAAATCTATCCACAGCTCTGAATCTATCCACAGCTCTGAAATATTCACTGAAACCTGTCCACTGAAAACTATCCACAATTCTCTGAAATATTCACTAAAAACTATTCACTGTAAACTATTTACTGAAATCTATCCACAGTTCTCCGAAATACTCACTGAAATCTATCCACAGCTCTGAAATATTCTCTAAAAACTATTCACTGTAAACTATTTACTGAAATCTATCCACAGTTCTCTGAAATACTCACTGAAAGCTATCCACAGCTCTGAAATATTCCCTCCCTGGGGCTCCTGCCAGCTGCTGGGCCAGGAGAAAATGGAATTAGGGATCTTTTTCCTCCCCATGCAGGAGTGTCTGTGTGCAGTTTGGCACCAGCTCTGGTGCTCTAACAGCTCCTGTGGCTCTTCCCTGAGCTTTCCCAGCCCTGCCCTGGCTGGGATGTGAATTTCCATCTGCTCCTCCCTCCCAGGGCATCCCAGGAGCCTCCTGAGGTTCATTCCAGCCAAGTGATGTCTCCCTGTGCTGACCTCACTCAGCTTGTGCATGTGGAGAGCTGCATGTCTAACCCAAAAATGAGTTTGTCTAACAGCAGTGCTCGGTAGAGGAACCCTTCTGCTATTGGCATTTTGTATTTTCTGGGAGATTCCCAAAGAATTGGTGGTGTTTCAAAGGAAAGATAGAGGTATGACAGTAAATCTAGAGCTCAGCAGCGTTCAGCTTCCAGAAGTGTGGTGAAACTTGATTCCAGTGGCAAAAGAATCAAACCCTCTACAAAACCTGTGGGCTTCATTCAAGGAAAACACTTAAGACTGTATTTGAATGGAAACAGTAACAATCCTTTTAAAAAAAAAAAAATTAAAATACTGATTTATCAGAATTTTAGGTCTTCTCAAATTTGAAAAATTATGTCGATGTCCTTGTAGCATGCTAGAGTGCATATCCTAATTAAATTGCAAAATTAATCTAATATGTGCTTTTTCTACATACTTTATTTGACTCTCACCACTCACCACCGTAGAGGAAGTTTATAGGAGAAGGCTAAAAGAAAAACGTAAGCCTTGCAATTCCCTTCTGGCTTTATCTCACTGCTCCTTTCACACCAATGTTAACCCAGATGCAGCAATAATTCTGTGTTTGTTAAATTTGGCTGTCTAATTGTAACCCACACCAGCTCCCACTGCCTGCAGCAAGCAGACAGCTCCTTGTTCAGCGAGGTTTTATTGCAGAAATCAAGGCCAGAGGTTCACAAATCAAATTGTTGGGCTTCAAAGGGACGTTGTCAAGGTTAGCAGAGCCAAAACTTAACATTTACACCCTTTTATTTGTATTTCCCATTTAATATCAGGAAAGACAGATTTAATTGAAAGCCTCTCTCTTTGAAGGGGACGATTTAGGCTTTGTTGTTGTGGTTTGGTTTTTTTTCAAATCACTGCATTAAATTTAAATTAAATAAATATATTTAAATTAAATAAAAATAGTCTGAATAAATGTGCCCATACTTGATGACATTAATGAATATTGTAAGTAAAATCTGCTCTAGTGTGCTTAAATCTACCTTGACACCAGTCCTTTTTGAAGTTTAATATTTATCAAAAGAAATTCGTAGGACTGTGATTTTTGTAAGAAAATCCTCCCAGTTACTTTCCCACTGCCTGCTGCCTTTAGTTTTTGATTTGGCTGTGCCTGTGCATGTCCTGTGTCTCTTCTTTGAGAAAATTCCTGTGAGGTTCATTTACATGTTTTAAAACTTAATCATTGCAAGGTGTGCGCTTTCCAGAATCCCTGCAATAAAAACTAATTACAGCTTTCTCAAATAGTTTAGCTGTGACTTTGTGTGTTCAACATGAAATTGTAAAACCCTTTTTCACAGATGCTCTTTGGCAATGTTGATTTTCTTTCCCCTCTCTCCCTCCATGCCTGCTGCCATATCTGTGTTGATGGTTTATTTGGGATCAGTTGTAATTGGTTTAATGCCAATTAATAGCTTGAGAGGTAATTACAACAGAGGAACTATTTCAGCTCCTGCCTCCATCACACTTGGTTCAGTCAGGAGGATTTGCTGGGGTTATTGTGCAGAGAAAAAGGAGAGATTTGGTTCAGCAAAGTTGGAGTGTGATAAACAACCTCACACATCTTCAGAGAGGGTGTTTTAACTGGCTTGACATCACTAAATGGTGCAGGAGGAAATTCTCCACTCGCTCGTGACATAGATTTTAACCGAGTTGCTCACACTGAAACATTTAGGTAAATAAATTTTTACAGAATTTTCACTGTATCAGACCAGTTTTTTGGTTATTTTTCATTCCCAGGTTCATGGATGTACTTTACTTCTCAGATGGAATGTATTTTCAATCCTACTTAAAATTATTTCCTTAAGTATGACAGCAAACACGCCCTCATCTTTTGCAAAATGAGCTTCAGTGTTTCTTTTCTTTTCTATTGCTTGACTTCCACAGTTTAAAACAGTGTTCTGTAGTCTTTTGTGAGCAAAACCAGGATGTTTGTGTTGTGCAATGCTCTTAAGAAATCAGCTTCTGAAAAAAATCTACATTTAATTCAGTTTAGTTGTGCACTGGCCATGCCACAGACATGGTTTTGGTTGTTAGTAAGAATGGGGAGAATATCACAAAACATCTATTTGCAGTAAAGATAGCAAGTCCTATTTCTCTTACAACATTTAAATCTTATTTCTCTTACAACATTTTAATCTTATTTCTCTTACAACATTTTAAAACGTTTTTAGACCAAGAGGTTCAGCGGTTGAAGATAGGAATGGAGACGTTATTGGCTGCAAATGAGGAAAAGGTGAGAAGATAATCCTTGTTGTACATATTAAGAATGAAATGATGGGTTTGAGTCTCTGAAATGTTCCAAATAACACATTTTTTGTGCAAGGACTAAATGAGAAAAGGAATTCATTCTTCAGGAGGCTGTAGCTCTTGTGGTAGTAAATCCAGCCATGGGATTTTCCTGGATGGTAGCACACTCATATATGATCACAGACAATGATATGCATCCCTAAAAACTTCCTTTTAGTCAGTGAGGAATCCAGCATTCATTCTGGAAAACATCAGTGTGGCTCATAACATTGATTTCTCAAAAAAGCTCGAATGTCAAACTCCTCTGGTTTCTTTCCATCTCTGATTTCACATTGTCCAGCAAATATTGTGCAAAAAGGCAGATAATATTCCTTACAAGCATGTGGAAGACTGAGCCTGTTTTCATGAAAATCACAGGGATGTCACTCAGTTTTTCTGCAGTTAAAAGTGAAGGGGTTTAAATGGAATTTTATTCATTTCATGTTTTCTACAGGACCGTCGGATAGAGGAGCTGACACTTCTGCTAAGCCAGTACAGGAGGGTCAAGGACATAATGATTGCAGCTCATGGTAAAATGTCTTGTGAATGATTTCCTGGCTTTGTTTTGAGTTTATGTGGTGTTTGCTGTGACCATCAGCAATGTTTTACAGTATAAAATGGTAGCAGGAGAACTCATTTCCCTTTCTTACAGATGACGAGACAAGCCTTGTTTGGAAGGAACAACTGAAAACCCACATTGCTTTGCTGCACACAATTCTGTGTATTTAACTTCAAAATCTGGGAGGGAAAAAAAAAATCTTTGTCCCTTTTCTCATTTACACTGTAGGAAGTGGAGTGGGTTTTAGGACAATCTCATTTTAAGTTGTCACCAATTTCAGCACTGAATTTTACCTGGGGAAACTTGAATTTCTGAAGGGACAGTTCTGTTCCACGCACACCATCACATTAACAAGACATAACAACATTTTTAGGCCTTGAATGGCAGAATGGAAACTTGTGTTTAGCACACAAAAATACAGAATGAGAGTAAATGTGTTTAATGCACAAAATGGGGAATGAGAGTAAACCTCTCTTTGAATGTTCATTAAGCAAATAAACAAAAGAAACAAGGAGCAAGCCATGATGCTCTGGGTTATTGAGCTGATACTGCAGAGAGCAACCTTTGCCTTTTTCTCTCTCTTTTTCTGCTCTCTAATGCTTTCAGGCTCTTCTGTCTCTGGTGCCAGTGAAGAGGAACTTGAGGCAACTTTAAGGAAGTGGAATCTTTTGAATAATTCTCCAGGAGAATTCCTGAAAGCAGAGGTACAGAGATGTTCTAGAAGCAGGTTCTGCTGTATGTAGATGTATATATATATATATATATATGATTTTTTGCTGTTGGTTTCTCTGTATTAATGTAGAAGAGGGTTCAGCCCTGGCTGAATTTCTGTACTTCTTGCTATGAGCACAGTAGATTCAGCAGGTTTGAAACTCTTGTGTCTTCCCCAGGCCTCTGCAGGAGAATTGTCTCCAGCTGTGCTCCCTCCAGTGCCACACAAAGCCATGGAAATCAGGCAAGACCTTCCTTTCTCGTGTTTCATGTGGGTGATGCTAAATTGGATTATTTAGACTGTTTAAATGCTGGAACCTTGTCTTGAGTGTTCTTGGCTTTGGGCACTTGTGAAAGCTCTGCTTGTTGTGGAGGTTTGCAATGCTCAGATGCTTGAGGTTTTATTTATAGGAATAAATCAGCATTTTTTTATATCAGCAGATATATGCACTGTAATCCTTAAAACCATAAAATTTATTTTTATTTAAAGTGGAAGCATTCCAGCACCTTCAAGCAGTTTAACCTCTCAACAGGAAGAATCTTTGGAAATCACAAATAGGTAAGAAAGAGTAACTTTCATTGAAATGTAAAACAGTTTTCCTCTCTAAAATCCCTAAATGTTGCACATTGCTGACAGAGAGCTATTGTTATTAAATTATAATATTCTTACATTTAATTATTATTATTAAATTAATATTGCTGTGCTTGCTAAGAGCTTCTAAAATCATCTACAGATCCAAGGCTAAAGCTGCCCACTGGGCCTGGCTGCCTTTCAGTGCTGCTCAGAGGATGCCTTGTTGCTGTTTCTGCCTTCATCTCTCTCAGTTCTCCAATTTTCAGACCAAAAACACAAAAAAATAAATTAATCTCTTAACTCTGAGCTGTGTTTCATGCAGGCATTATGTGATTTACACAGCTCTTTTGTGTGACACACTCAAAAAAAAAAACCATGTTGTATTAACTGCTGGTTTTTTACCTGTCCCTTTCTTCAAGGGTTCCTCAGAAAAAAAAGTCAAGTAGTTTAGAAGACTTGCAGAGCGAATCCTTGGAAAAGGTTGGTTTATTTGGCATCACAGCTCCTGGTGTTTAATGTCACAGCTCAAAAATCAAGTATAAATATTCTTTTTGTTATTCATTTAGTAACTTTAACCACCACTAACTCTGTATGCGGGGAGAGAGCCCTAAAACAGCTCAGGTTCTTTTTCCACCCCCAATTCCAAACTGGTTGACACACCCGTGTGGACACACCTTCAAATTCAGTTTTTGCCCTGAGAGAAACAAAAATATTTAAGTGAAAGACGAGCAATAATGAGGAGTCATTTTGTTAAAGTGTAATATTATTTTCTTTATGAGACTTCTTAAAAGATATATATATATAGATATATAGAGAGAGATATTTATTTATTTATTTGTTTGTTTGTTTATATTTGTTTTTTACTTAAAAATGACCAAAAATATTAAGGCAGCTAATCCTGAAAGTAGCTAAAAGTTGGGACTGGGTATTTGGCCATAGGATTCCTTTTTGGGTGTTTGCATGGAGCTGTGTTTTCCCTTAACTCTCTGATGCAAATGCCATTCCTGAAGATGGCAGTGATGCTGCCTTAGCTCAAGCAGCAGGAGCTGCTTTCATTCCATTCCACAATAAAACTTCCCAATTTCCCTTGTTACACTGTGGTGCACAGTCCTGTTTTGTCATTATGTACACTGACATTTCTCTACACTTCTGTAATTCTGCTTTGTGACATTGTTGTTGTCTTCTGTACTCAAATCAGGCTTAATACCAGGTTACCTACACCCAGCAAGGCCACTTAAACCAGATACCACTCATATCTTAAATTGTTAAAAAATTTTCTTAAATATTTCAATATTTTTCCTGAATTGCTGGAGATAATTGTGACTGAGTGTGTGAAATTTGTGCTGTATTAATTAGATTGTGGTCACACACATCACAAATCAGAACTAGCATTTCATTCCGTGAGGAATCGATGTTTTCTCCTCTTAACTTTCAGTTATTTTCTTGTCTTAAACCAAAAAATCTGGATTTGTCTCTGTGATATGCTGTGATAAGGCTGGACCTACATATTTATGCTGGAGTTATTCTGCCCTGCTCAAAACTCAAATTTCCATTGCTTCCAGCTATAATAATGATAAAACAATAAACCACATCGGTGTCCCTGACCTAACCATGGTGGAATTTTTATCACTTGGTTTCTAGCAGAGCTCTTTATGGTTTCAGCTGGACCCATCCAGGATTTTGTGTGTTATTTTATGCCAGTTGTTTTCATTTTGGTCTCTATTAAACAGCTCTTACGTTCCCAGCTCAAAGTCAGTCTAAAGGGACCACCCAGAAACCTGAAAATAACAAAAATTCCTTTGATCACGACAGAACTCAAACAGGAATTGTGCAGAGGGGAGAATGAACAAACACAGTCTGTACTAAATATTGCATTGAGACAAAATTAAGAGGTAACAGCCCTTGTAATATGTTGTCCATACATTAAGCACCATCTCTATAGCAGTAAGATTTGATGTTCCATGTATGTATGTTAATACTAACATTTGTCTGTTGCTTTTTTTTCCATAAAACCTTGAAATTGCCCTCCCCGAAACTCCATAGTATGTAGATGGAAAACCAGCACAGCCTGTTGTAGAACAAGAGGTATATTAACTGCAACCTTCCCTAACAATTCTCTGGTGTGATGTGGTGTGCTGTGATGGTATGGCTGGTTTGTGTTTTATATTCATCTTCTCTCCAAAATGTTTGCATAGTTCCAGTGCTGACAAAACAGAGGGTAAAGGTTTGAAGGGGAAATCTTTGGCTTTCTTCCTTTTATATCTAAAAATTTGCTACATGAAGCTGAGGTCAGTCAGTCTCGGAATACACACTGTAAGACACAATTTCTCTACTCTTACATAATTTTGGTATTTGTGCTCCTGCAGTTGCCAAAAAAAAGGAGCAGGAGTTGAGGAATCTGGCCTGCAGTTGCAGTGTCCAAAGAATCCTCTAGGCCTTGGAACAAGAACAGATGAAGCAGTGGATATCTCATTGAATATTCAGTGTATCCTCCTGTCACAGCCAACGTTCTGAGACAATTTTGTTGGAATGGGGTTGCTGAGGCGGAGCACGCTGTACCTTCCTCCACAATAAATATGATTTGTGTGTTTCCAGTGCAAATTTCTCCTCTGGAACCTTCATTCTGATACTGAAACATTTACCAGTACGAGTTTATTCCAAAACACATGTTGGATGTACACCGTTCCCCCTAATAACATCAGCTGGAGCTGCAGGTCCAGTGCATGTCTCAAAAATCATCTCTGTCCTACAGCTTTGCCCCAGGGCTGGCTTGTCCATCTTTTCATCTGGATTCAGTGCTGGACAAATGCCAGCAAGCCATTTCCAAAATTGCAATCAAAAGTACCTCTGTGAAACATGTGTTTTGCCTGGAAAAGGAACTGATTAGGCTCAAAACTATTTATGGGAACATTTCATCTACCCTTGTAAAGGGAACATGGTACCCAAGTAGATAGCAAGGAAAATTAGGTTCTGTAATAGAACTGGCAATTCTACTATTATTATTATTATTATTATTATTATTATTATTATTATTATTATTATTATTATTATTATCGTTGTTATTATCATTATTATCATTTACCTTATTATTATTTACATTATTATTTACATTATTATTTGCATTATTATTTACATTATTATTTACATTATTATTTACATTATTTATTACATTCTTACTTATTACATTATTATTAGTTACATTATTATAATTTATATTTATAGTTGCTATTATTAATGGCTGCAATTATTTAAAAAAAAAAAACCAACAAAAAAAATTTCACATTTACAATTCTGTCTATGCAAAGAGATTTTTTTGTCCTTAGAAAAATTATGTTTCTGTATCTTGTCTTTGGTCTTGGTTCTTTTACTGTTATTAATGGTGGTGGGAAATATGTCTGAGGAAATCTGAGGTGTACAAACATTTTTGGGTTAAATTCCAGCGAGATATAAAAGTGAGGCAGAAACAGAGAAAGTCTTTTTTGGGTTAAATTCCAGCGAGATATAAAAGTGAGGCAGAAACAGAGAAAGTCTGGTGGGAAAACAGGAGGAAAGAAATGATCTGAAAAGTAACTAAACACATTTTTGGCGCTATCAGAGTTGACCTTGGAAAGATCAAACCATTAAATAGTGCCAGGGTCCTGGAGGAGAGGGAGACAGCCAGAAAAATTCTTATGGCAAGACCAGGTGATATTTAACACATATTTCAAAGCAAAGCAGAGAGGATGGAGTGGGAAGAGCAGAAGAGGGAAAGCAAAGCTGTGGGTTTTTTTGCTGGGAAGCTGGCAGCTGGTGGACGGGTTTAAATTGAGTTAACTTAATTTAAATTAATTTTTAAAAATTTAAAAAAATTAATTAAAGCAGAACGTGCAGGGAGTGGAGCATTTTGAGCCACACTTTTTTCCCCAGCCGTAAGGAGTCGCGTAGCGCGTTGCGGATTCCGCGGGCGACTCGATCCCGGATTTATTTTCTCTTCCCCTCTTTTGCAGCAGAGTAAGGCAGTGGGGAAGGGCAGCAAGTACCAAACGCTGCCAGGAAAGCTGCCCCGAGCGCTGCAGAACGGAGAGCAGGGGATGTATGGCTCCCCAGAGGGATGTGGCGCGAGTGACAACGGTGACAGCGGCGTCCCCAGCCTGAGTATGTACCTGTGCCTCTCCCAGAGGGAAAATCCAGGCTGCTCCAGGGCTTGGGATGGGATCTGCTGTTCCAGAACAATGCACGTGGGTCACTTGGGGAATGCCTTACCACTTTTTTATAATTTATTTTTTTAACATAGATACCAGAAATATTCCCATGTTCCCATAGCTCAAGGCAGAGTGAAGGATGAGTTTAATTTAGAGATTTGGGTTTTTTTTCTGTTGCACCTGACAATACCATTTGAAACTTTACAGTACAAAACTGTGAACATTTTGGGTAAAAGTCCCTCTATCAGCACTGTCTGTTGCTTAGCTGTGGGGGACCCACTAGTGAAAATTCAGTTTACTACATGCAGAAAAACATTTGTGCATTTTGGAACTTCAAATATATTTCCATGCCACAGCCCTGTGGAGGCCTGTATTAATTTCTTTTCAGTGGCACCTTAAGCACAGATTTGTTGACAAAAAGGTGCTGAGAGTGAGGCACAGGACCAGGTATTTTTTTAGGACTGAAGAGCTTGGGAGCTCAGGCACAGGAGCATCCCTTGTGATTCTGAAGTCTTTGCACTCTAAAAGTTACAGTGTGGGATTTTTTGTTGTTTGTTTGGCTGTAATTGGGTTTTTTTTTTCCCCTTTGGTGGGGGTTGGTTTATTTTAAGGCCTCGTGGTCCCTAAAGCTGCTAGCACACCAAAGTTTCAAGGTTGCGATAGATTTTGCTTGTTTAGAGGTTTTGAAAGAGCTTTTTTGTGATTGATTTCTTTGTAGACAATGCATGAGTGTCTTTAACTGCAGGACTATCCAAGGGTGGGTGAGCTTGTAAAGGAAAATGTTCTTTTCCTACAAACAAGCAATAGCTTCTTAAACACACTGAGTTAAGAGAATTTTGTTCTGCAGCTTGCTTTGTTTCTTGCATTAAATTCATTCCACCTCCAATTCTGTATTTTGGAGCAATTTGATGTAATCTCAGCCATTGCTTCATTTCAGATCCGCTTCAGGCTTCGTAGACCTCTTTGCTTAAAGAGCTAAAACTTTCCAAGAATAGTTAGGAAAGCCCAAACAGATCCATTTTCATCCCTTCATGTTTAAGATGATCCGTGCAGAGTTCTCGGGGCTCGTGCACACCGATGCAGATTCACTTCCACGTCGAGCATAACTGCTTCATTTTCTTTTAGTTCCTGCTTTTAATGCTTAGCTTAACTACTTTGCCCTTCTTTAACTTTATTTTGCTGGTGTTTTGTATCTTCTTTGCTTCTCCATCTGGCTTTCTGCCTCTTGGGATGACTGAAGATCGCGTCAGGAGTGTCAGTGCGCCCGTGCTAGGTACTGTATCCAACAAGACGCAACTTTAACGCTCATTTCGCTGCTTCCTTCCTTCCTCTCCTTTCCCCCTCCTTTTCCCTGTGGAATACTAATCCCAGCTGAGCTCCTTAGGTGCAGTACTGAAATGAAGAAATAGCTCCTGCTGTGTGCCATTCACGTGGGGTTTCTTTTTGTGACACTTGTTCCTGGTTTCATTCTGTTTTCACTGAATTTAGAAAAACTCCCACGGATTTTGGTGGAGGAGTTGAGGTATTAAGAGCAGGCAAGAAGACTTTAAACGAATTCAGATAGTGTAGTTAAATAGAAAATACTCAAATAACAAAATTATTTTACCCAATATTTTATTATTTTATTTTTTTAAAATTAGATGTCCAGCCGTTTTTTCACCTTCTGAGCTCATTTTTGTTTTTTTTTTTAAGTACAAGAACAATTTTATAGGTATCTGTACTTCTGTAAATTTAAACATCAGCCTCCCAGACAGCAACTTTATCAATAATTGGTATAAAATTGTTGATATAAATATGTGTATATTTATATACATTATTATATATTGATATAAATATTGGTATAATTGGTATAAAATGTGACTGTAATACTGTTCTTAACCCAGGAGAAACAGAGAACATGGATGGTACAGGGGTCTCAGATGACCTTTCACCCCTCTCTTCGGGAACGGACTCAGGTTCACAGTCTCCATGGTCGCCAGAAAACAGAAAGAGTCCAAAAGGGATCAAGAAAATCTGGGGAAAGTAAGGTCATTTTTTTTCATTTTGTTCACTGTCAAAGCATTTCAGCTGAGAATGAAGCCAACTTCCAGCAAAATCTCCAGTTATCTGTAGCAAGAATTACCTAAAATCTGGGGAGAGAAAGCAGCCCTGGGGTTGCACAGGTGTGTCCCTGTGTACACAGGGGATGGAAAAATTGGTGGGAGCATTCACAGCGTCATCCTGGTGAAAGAAATAAGGCACTGCTGTCACCTTAATGCTGTTAATTTAGTTTTATTAGCCATGAAAAATTAAATTGTAGCAAGCTGCTCATTGCAAAAGACACCAGGTGAAAAAACGAGGGAAAGCAGACGGAACAGAAAGCAGGGCAGAGTTGCACTGTGTCCACTCCATCTGCTTCAGCAGCAGCAGCCACTCCCAAGTCTGGATTATTAATTGGATCAAAGAGTTATGGCTGCTCTGCAGAGCTTTTCTTTAGAGTTAGGTCCAGGCTGAATTTCCTAGAACTCCTTCAGCTGCCTCTGGAATTTGGCATTTGCGGTTCCCAGGGAGATGAACGGAGCTGTTAGTTGTCGCTGTAGTTTCCATGCAGAGCAAATCCCCTCTGTCACCAGCTAACAGTCCTGTCGTGGCACTCTTGTCTTGCAAGAATACGAAGAACTCAGTCAGGTAACTTCCCTGCAGACGACCTGGGCCTGGCAGAGTTTCGGAGGGGAGGTCTCCGCGCCACGGCTGGACCTCGCTTATCCCGATCCAAGGACACCAAAGGCCAGAAGAGGTAACGGCTCCTCCTGTCTCTGGCACAGCCTGCTGCTGCCAAATGTGCCCCACAGCCAAACCCTCCTCTTGGGGAGCTTGCCCAGCATCCCACCTGGAATTCCACAACAGCCGGAAAGAATTTCCCTGGTAGCAAAAGCCATCCCGAGGATCTCCCCTGCCTGCACTCCTCCAGCTGCAAGCTGCAGCAGCCTCAGAAATTTCACTTTCTTAAAGAGGGAGGAGAATAATTATCTCCTCATCTGCATAGCTGTGAGGGTTCAGCAATTCCCTTTTCCCTCTTTTCAAACAGAAACCAGGAAATTCTTCAGGTTGTGAATTCACAGGTTGTGGCTGGGCTGCCAAATTCCCAGGAGACCCCAGCACAGGGCACACCGACAGATTTGCTGTGGTGCTGCCCCTGGCACACGAGGAGCTTCCCACTCTGGACATTCATTCTTTCCTTTTAAGAATTTCCCAATGTTTCTTGTGCTTTCCAGCGACCACAATGCCCCGTTTGCTCAGTGGAGCACTGAGAGAGTTTGTAACTGGCTTGAGGACTTTGGCCTGGGCCAGTACGTGATTTTTGCCCGGCAGTGGGTGACATCAGGCCACACGCTGCTGACAGCCACACCTCAGGACATGGAAAAGGTAAATCACTGCTCCTCAATGCCTGCTGATTCTGTCCAACCCCCTCCAAAACACTGGCTCTCCCTTTCTGGAGCCCACACTGCCAATTTTCATAGGTTACCTCACGTGAGGAAAGGAGCCAGAGGCAGGGCAAACTCTTTGCTAATGGCTTTTTGTTGCAGGAAATGGGAATAAAGCACCCACTGCACAGGAAGAAGTTGGTTTTGGCCGTTAAAGCCATAAATGCGAAACAAGATGAGAAGTCTGCACAACTTGATCACATCTGGGTGACACGTAAGTGTTTGGGCTCTCACAGAATTGTTTGGGAAGGAATTTCTCCCACCCCTCTCAAAGAGCAGCCCAATTCACATTTAAGCAGTTACCAAACACCTTTTAAAAAGCACCAAGTTTCACCACAGGAGAGATGAGGATTTTTTGGTGCTGTTCTTGACATCCAAACACACAGCTCGTGGTGTGCTCTTTGTAACTTTTCTCTAGTTTCTCTCAGCCTCCTTTGGGCTGAATTCCCCTGGGATCCTCCCTCGTGGGGAGTCCCATTTATCTCAGTCTTTATGATTCAAAGAAAACTCTTGGGCTCATTAGATTCTGCTTTCTGGTGTTTATCAAAGGATCCTTACAGAAACCTGGCAGGTCTATCCAGACTGGCTGCACAAGCCTAAATCACCACAGCCTGGCTCATTTCCTTCTGATGATACAGAATGGCCCCAAACCACGCAGTCTTTTCACCTTTATACCAATTTTTACCCCATTGACTACAGACACATGTATTGTTATTATATCTCAACAAATAGGTTTTCTGTATCTACCCATGTAATTAAAAGTGTGACTGACTCTAAACTAATCATTCTTTGTGCTTCTAAAAACTGCAGAAGCATGGAGAAGAAGGAAGCAGAAGGATTAAAAACTACACCTTTTTTCCCCCATCTTTACTCCATGTGTGAAACCCTCTTAAAATCTGTATTTTCCCCTCAGTGATAAATTAAACATTTCTCTACTTTCTATTTAATTTCTTACAAATTTTGGCTCGCTCAGGGATATTTGGAAGCCTTTCTGTCAATATTATGTACGACTGATGTATTTTTTAAAGAATTGAATAGACAGAGAGATGTCTCTGCATTTCTGGGCTCCTACAATGGGGAACTCTGTCAGACAGCAGGGCACTAAATGTGTGGGCTCAGTCTGGGAAAGCTCCTTTATGCTGCAGAAGGTGTTGAAGGCTCCTTCATCATCCTTCATCCTGCAGCTCCATCACGTGCTGCCTGCCAAATATCACAGGGCTGGCTGCAAGAAGCTGCTGGGTGGGAATTGCTCCCAGGCTGCTGGCAAGAGGCTGTCCTCAGGAAAGGGGAAAAGGTAGAAGGAGCCACCTGAACGCCTCAAAAGAGGCCAGGCAAGAGGGGAAGAAGGGCTTCACACTCTCTGATCTGGGTTTGGTTCCCCAAATCTGCAGGGTGGCTTGATGACATTGGCTTACCTCAGTATAAAGACCAGTTTCATGAATCCAGGGTAGATGGGAGGATGTTGCAGTACTTAACTGTGGTAAGTACAATCCTTTTTCCTCGGTTTTATCGATTTTAACTTCAGAATAAGGAAAAACTTACAAAATTTTCCTTTGAGCATGGGCAGTTAAAGAATTTTTGCAAGACAAATAGTGCCAGTAACAACTCCTTTGTGCACAGAATCCATAAAATAAGTCAGATGCTAAGGCTAACTTCTGCAAAGTCCTTCTTTAAATATCATGCAGTACACTGGGACTAAAATTAAATTTTTTTGTTTTATGTGGAACCTCTGGACCTCTGCACACCAAGGTAGAAACAATATTCAGCAAAGTAAGAGCAGGAAATGCAGTGATTTGTACAGCTCTGCCCACATCCACAGCACACCATGAACCACACACAGCCACCGTGTTTTCTCCCCATTCTCCTGCCCAACTCTGGATAGTTAAGACCTGGATTTACCTTAACAGGCTACAATCCTGCCTTCATTTTTTTAGCCAGGTCTTGCTATGATGCAATGTTTAAAAAAAAAACCAATAAGTCAATGACAGAACCCCCAAAACCTCCACCCTAATAAAACCCAAACCCTCTTTAAAGTATAAAACTTACATCTTTCCTAAGCCACAGTTACTGTAGTGTTACATGAAACTACACAGCAAATTTAAACTCTTTCAAAACTAAAATCTCTCTCTCCTTCACAGAATGACCTTCTCTTCCTGAAAGTCACCAGTCAGCTGCATCACCTGAGCATTAAATGTGCCATTCATGTGCTGCACGTCAACAGCTTCAACCCCAACTGTCTACGCAGGAGGCCAGTTGAGGAGGTAAAAGAATGTTGAAATAAATGAATTTAATCAAGAACAAATCACTTGGTCCCAGCCAAAGGGGACAGAAAGTCAGCAGTGTTACAACAGAGTCATTGCTCCTAGGGACCTGCACCTAAAGCAGCAGTTATGCCACTAATGAAATCTCGTGCATTTCTCCTCAGAAGTCATTTGCATAGTGGGGATAAAAAGTTATTTCATCTTCCAAGAGAATAATTTGGAAAGATTTGTCTTTGCCTGACCTCATTTTTAAAATCTGTGAGGTTTTTGTCTCTACCTGACCAGCATAGTTTTGTCATTAACCCTGTTGTCAGAACATTCCCTTTTGTGCTGGTATTGTCTCTACGTTATCAGTTAGGAAAAAAAAAAAAAGGTTAAGCAGGAGAAAGAAAAGTGTTCTGCAAATTTTATCCCAATGTTTCTTATTCTTGTAATCATGTTTATACCTTTTAAGTTTTAAACCTGTTTTGCCCTTCTCCTATCTCACAGAAAAAAATAAACGTGTGCCCTGGTGATTTTAGCCAGTGCTAAAACCCAGCACAATATTTAGTGCTTTAACCAAAAAACCCAAACTAGCAAAATGGATTGACATTTTTATCCCTGTAATCTCTGCTGCTGTTGCACTTCTTGGTGCAACACACTGGGCCAGGTCTGCCATCTCATCAGAGACTGCTTGAGAGGGACCTTGAGGAGAAACAATCCCCCAGCCAGGGAGGAAGAGGAAGAGGAGGGAGGCTGTTTAGATCTGAACTGAGCCAGGAGCTGTGCACACTCTGACAGGGCTGGCAGTGGTGTCACCACCTGCTGTGGTTCCCCCACAGAACATCTCTCCTTCTGACGTGGTGCAGTGGTCCAACCACAGGGTGATGGAGTGGCTGCGGTCGGTGGATCTGGCGGAGTACGCGCCCAACCTTCGAGGCAGCGGAGTGCACGGGGGCCTGATCGTAAGGATTTACCTTTTCACCATGAAAAATTGACACATAGAAACCATCTCTTATCTCATGTTCATCAAGCAGAAAGAAACAAGCACATCTGCAATATGGCAGTGTGGTCAGGCCTTTGAAGGAGCCTCTTTATCTGATCCACACAGCTTTATTCTGCAAAAGGAAACCTAAAATAAGAAAGAAATAGCTAAAACACTTTCTGTAATCAAAGCTGGGCTGTGCACAAGTGTGTGACAGCAGCACTTAAAGGGAAACCTGAACTGTGCTGTGCAGAAGTTGCTTTTTGATAAGGCATCTCTGAGTGTTTCTTTGAGTGATTTACCAGAGCTCTGAGCCACGCTAAATAACCACCCTGAAACCACAGCAGTCAGAAATTACATTTTTTTTAACTCAAAACATTCAGAACTATTTGCAGCTCTGTAATGTCAGGGTTCTGAGATACCACGATCCTACTGCTGTGGAATTTTTGCAAAAATGCAGTGGTGGAAATTGTACTAAGATTAATTTCATACTCTGAGTAGAGCAGAAAATTCTGAAGGGAAACTTGTTAAACCCAAACAAACATATGATTTGGTGACAAATATCAACACGTATTTGCCTGATCGCACTCAGCATTTTTTCTTGGCTCTATTCAGGTATTTCCCATTCAAACCCCAGTATCACGAGTGAGCTATGAAAGGTCTAATGTGAGCAGGGGCTTAGTGAGAAACCCTCTGCTAAGCACTGCAGTTAGTTTATTATTGCAAATATTTATATTAAAAAGAAACATCCTGTCCTTTTTCCCAGATCCTCGAGCCTCGCTTCAACGGCGACACGCTGGCCATGCTCCTGAATATCCCTCCCCAAAAGACCCTCCTGCGCCGCCACCTCACCACTAATTTTAACGTGTTAATTGGGCCAGAGGCACAGCAAGAGAAGAGGGAAATCATGGAGTCAGCAGCATACACGCCTCTGACCACCACTGCCAAAGTTCGGGTAGGTGCTGCTGCCAAAAAGGAGAACTGTTGGTGTCAGGCTCCTCCACTCTGAATTACAGAGAAAATAAGGGACAAACGGGCAGGGAGAGGTGAATTCTAGGAGTGCTGCATTTCCTTTAATTCTAGAGACAGCACCTTTCACTCTGTAGCTGTTTCATCAGGTCCTGGAAACAAGCATGCAATCTGTTCTGCCTTTTCTTAGAAGGAAAGTGGTGTAAGCACATTACCACCCACTGTAACCCCAATTTGAGAAGAAATGCAGTTAATTCAGAATCCACATACTTCAGTGACCAGAGTATAGCCATAAGTGGAAAAGGGGAGGATTTTGAATGTTTAAAGAACAACCTTACTTGTCTTACTCAGAACTACTTGTGCTGACTCCTTATTTCAGCCAAAGAAACTTGGATTTTCGCATTTTGGAAACTTAAGGAAAAAGAAGTTTGACGAATCAACAGACTACGTTTGTCCTATGGATACAAGCCCAGCTGCTACCAATGGCACCTCGAAAAACTATGGTGGCTACAAAGGCCTCAGTCCTTTCAGTGACAGGGAACTGGATCAGGTGGGACAGACAGACTGATGCCATGCTCATCTCATCCTCTCCATGCATTCCAAAGCTTGCAAATAACCAAATGTTCCCCTGTAACAAACTCTTTGCTACATCCGCATGAACTCACTGAGAAAAGCCTTGGCTGTGGACGCTGGAAACCAGAGTTCCAGACTGAGAATGTTGGGTTGTTTTGTTTTTTTTTTATAATCAACATCTCATAGTAAACTCATCCATCCTCAGGCCCTTTTTCAGGACTATGGCACCTTTACACTCTGAAGATGGAGGTATTTTGTCAGTCAAGGGCATGGTTGCAGTAAACACAAGACTTTTGTACTTATAGCTTTCATAATTTTAGTACAGCACACGATTTTTTTTTGTTATCTTTATGGGAGGTTTTAATATGTACTAAATTCATATGGACAAACTTGTGCTATCAAGTTATATTAAAGTACAACTGGATTGTATTTTTTAACAGTAATCAGAGAATCCAACTGAATTTTTCTTTCATGGTGTACAGCGGGGAGTAGTTCTGCTTAGACAATATATGTGAAGAAAATGCATCAGCAATGAACAAATTATTAATAAACTGAGAGTTAATTCACTTTTGTAATGTAGTAGTGAAGTTGTGAATGAAACTATCTAGATGGCATCCAAAGAAATGCTGAAGACTAAAAACTATCGAATTTTATTTCGACTTTGCTGTTGTGTGTAAAGGGATGTAAACCCTGAAAAACGGAGCGCTCCTGGAGCCTTGTGTGAGCTTTGGCAACACACAAGAGCCACACAGAGGCAGCTGGAGCAAACTGGCCTTTCTCCAGAGACATAAAAACAATTTAAGACCGATAAGAGAATGGTCACAACATTGAAAAGACTAACTGTGAAGGTAATTTTTTTCACTTGCATGGTTTAGAGCATCTAACATCTCATTTGTGTCCCTTGGCTAACCTTGTTTTTCAATGTGCTCCTAAACAGGGAGAGTACCAAACCCTGACTGTGTGTGTGGATGTCCACTTGCTCAGCTAAGGGATGTGAGGGAATGCATTAACCTTCAGCCAAGAACTGTGCAGTTGTTGAAGCATGACAGAAAGACTGGGTTTTTCTCTAGGAGCATGGTCTGTCTATTAAGCATGACATCTGAGCATGTGGCCCATTGCAGGAAATCACAGTGCCCTAGATTGTGACATTTTTATGTAAAAAGAGTTAGGACTGTATCAGAGACTTCTCACCTGTGAAACAATCCCACCAGAAATATAAGTGGTTTCAGAGATTTGGAAAACCCTATTTTTCATTGAAAATATAAGTTAATCTTTCTTTTTTTTTCTGTGAATTGGAGACCAAGTTTCACAGAATTAATGTCTCTTAATCAGGGTCCACTCTTCCTATCTATCATTAAATGCATTTTCACATACCTTGTAGCACAGAGGCATTTTTGTTAAGGAGCTGCAAAACTTACCCCAACTTCATTTGTCCAGGCACAGATCCCTCCCAAAGCTGCATGTAGAGTGAATAAAATTGCACATGCTGTCTGATTTGAACTAGTTGCTGACTGCTTTTACAGATGGAACACTCAGAAGGCACAGTAATGCAAATAGGGGCTCTTTCCCAAGGCATAACCCACCTCACGGTACGTACTCATTCCTCTCTGCTTCCAAAGTCTGCCAAAACTCACTGAAATTGGTCATTGCTGGTGGTAATGAAGAGTAAGTGGGTCTCTGGTCTTGTTAAGTATCTCTTTATAGCTTGGTGGGACATGCAGTCAAAAAAAAAACCACTGCTTTTAAATTGCTATGGAAATTAAGCTTTACCCAGGCCTAAGTTTCCATGAACTCTGCTGTCTCTTTGACAAAATGACAGCTATTCCCCACTTAAATAAAAACAATTCTTCAAAGACTTTGCAGGTAACCACCAGCTCAGTCACAGCAAAGGCTAGGAATGAGGCACAGACTTTTGAAAATTTACATGAGCTGAAACTCTGTGGAAAACATAAAACATCTGACTTTTGCTTCTTCGTTCCACAGAAGCTAATTTATTAAACAATAAAATAAGTGTCTGGAAGACATAATGAAGAATTATAAAATATAGCTGAGTTGCATGCCAGACACAAAATCTCTAAGAATTTCCTCAAGCAAAAAAAAGCTTATTTAAAACTGAAGAAATTCCCTTTGGCTGTGTGTGGCTTTCACCCCCTGTGTTGTGAGGCTGGGTCTCTGGGAGCACAGGCCCTCACCAAACACCCTCAGTCCTTCCCAAACTGCTCTTTCAGACGCTGCTGAGCCAGGATGAGATGCTGAATGACAGCAGGTTTCTAACACCGACCTTTGAAGACTGGAGATGATGCCCCAGCAGGACGGAGAGCGCGACCCGAACCTCACGCCTGCAGGAGCGGCCAGGAGCAGCTGGAGGCCGTGCAGGAGGAGAGCTTTCCCTCTTTTCTGCCTCTGCCACCTCCCATGTAGCATTTCCTCACACACTGCAGCCCCACCTTGCAGGTAACTCTCCTCTGTGCTGTTTTCCCACCTCATGTAATGGCAAACAGGGGCTGGGAGAGGAGTGGGACTCTTATCCAGAGTCTGGAAAGCCAAGACCGGCAATGTTTTGTCCTTTTATTCACTTGTCATGTGCTATGTTGATGTACTGTTACACGAAAAACCTTCTGTCATTTTTTATTTTATAATTAACCTGGAGTGCAGGAATCATTAATACATAATTGTACCTTGGGGGCAGATCAGAGGTACCTGGAATTCAGCTGGGTGCTGGTGTGAGCAGCAGCAATGGCTCACCCACCACTCCTGTGGCTTTGCCAGACTGGTCCCCAGAAAGGATTTCCATCTCCCCTCCCTTTCACTGTCCTGCCCTCTTTTTATCCAAGCCAGGGCACTGTAGGGTGGGAATAATGGAACCTAATACTGTCCATCAAGCCCTTGTTTTTATTAGGATGACAAGCTGCCACATTCACAAATCCTTACCTAAGGCAAGAACAACTGCAGCAGGAAATTGTAACCAGGAAAGTACCAGAATAAAAGATGTACTTCTGTAAAACACCTGACAAAATAAATCTGCTGCTGTTGTACTGGGCTAGACAGGAGTGCATCAGAGAGAAGTATTGAGGGGCTGAGGTTGAAGCTGCCACCTTGACAGCAGCAGTTATTTGTGGCATCTGTTTACATGTACATACTAATGAGCTATTAACAAGCTCTCTCAGTAAACAGATAAATGCCAGAAAAGTCTCCTTAATTGTAAGGAAAAGTACTTTGTACAGTGCTGGTTTGCATTACTCTCTCCTTGCTGGCTGCAAGTGTTCTTTAGATTTTAATATAGCCTCAGGGCAGGTCACTGCCAGCCACAACCCTCCCAGATTAAGAGGGAAATTGCAGGGCTGGCCACAGGATGCTGCAAGGGCTCTTTGAGAACTACCTGGGGTGTTTTTTACAGGTGATCTATCCTGGTCCTCACTTCACCAGTGTCTCCTGACAGACCTTGCACTGTATGGTCAGGTGTAAGAAGATAAACACATGACTTGATTGTCCACAGTGGTAAAATCAAGGCAAGCTCTTTTCAGTCACTGCAAAGTGCAAAAAGGGAAAATTCAGAAGGATGAGAAATGAGCCTATGCATGAGCAAACCACTAATGTTTAATGTTTGATCAAAGGTGTTAAATGTTCCAGTCTGGCAATGCAGTCAGTGCTAGTGACCAGCTCAGGTACCACGGGCATTTGGAATATTTCATTAGGTCAATTAGCCAACAAACTTAGTACAGCACTGCAAATGGGATTGCTGCTCCAGCAGCCCTGGGATATCCCAAACACACTATTTCCTATTTCTTTCAATGCTGTATTTACAACTCAGTGTGTTGTTGTGGATAGCCAATCCACAAAACTGATTCTTCTTTTAAATATACATAGTAAGAAATCCTAATTAGCATAACACTGGTATAAATGCTTATTTTTTGACTGTTATGAATAAATTGTGAATGTTCCCCTCTCTTGCTGACCATGGAATGATTTAACACAAATTCATGTGGATGATCTCTCATCTTAATTTTCTTTTCCCCACAGAAATGTTTTATAGTAATTTCAGAGGTCAGACTAAGTAACTCCCACACAATCCAAGAGGATTTCTCAACTTAGTATTAAAACACACATGGTAATAATGAAGTTATAAACCACAGAAATTACATCAAGGGGTTAAAACACACACACACACAAATGCTGCACAGCTGCACATCATCTGTTCCTGTAGAAAAATATGCAGTACTTCCAAAAAAAGGTATCAGGTGCCATCGATGTTAATAAGCAAATGTACTGCTCTTGGGATAGCCAAGCTTGTCCAGGTTGGGCTGACAGGCAAACTGAATCATTGGTGGTGGCCCACACATGAGAATGAGGGTCTCGCTGCCAGGGGGAGGCAGGTGGGCTTCCAGCATCTCTGCAGTGACAAAGCCAGAGCTGTACTTCCAGTCTGCAACAAAGAAATTCATTCAGTTACTTGGAATCCCTCTACAGGCTGAAGCCTTTTAAACCACATTAAAATAGCTGAAGAATCAAGTTATGGCACCATCACTGCAAGCCAGGAGAGGGTGAAATCCTCACTCAGCACAAACCTAGTGATCCCCTTCCACAGGGACAACAAGCAGGTAGATAACAAGGATCTGGCTGGATGGAGGTCTTAAAACAATAAATTATAAAATGTAAAAGAAATGAGCAGGTAGGAATAAAAAGGCAGAGTGAATCAGCTTTTCCAGTGAAGAAGGGTCACCCAGTGGCAGGGAGAGGTACTGAGACCTGTACTCTGTTTTTGAGATGGGAGTGGTGAGGTGACAAGAGTTTGGTGAAAACAAAAGCTCTGCCATGTAGTTTAGTGATAAGAGAGAACAAGTTAAAAGAGGAAAGAAATGCTAAACTATTTCAAGCAGCAGGATTATTGAATGCATCTGCCACTTGAAGTGAGAAAAATGATGCCTAAATCCATACACATGGCAGCTGTTTCACCAGAATTTCATCTGGAGATGCTGCAAAACAAAGAAGTGCACATAATATTTATAGGTATTAAACAATTATATTAAACAATTTCATGCCAACAACATGCTAATATAACCTGATTTGGGAGATAGCCCAAAACAGAGCTGAACTTTTGATGAAAACTCCCAAAAACTGAAATACATGAGAAGATGCACTGAGTGACACGTCTGACCCAAATGAGGTACATTATGAGCTCCCACTTTTTAAGGCTCAGCTGGCTTAGATCCCTCTTTAAAACAGGGTGTGGGGTAAGATTTGTTTCTGAGGAGTTTAAAAGTGTAAGACAAGAACACCTGACATTGCTCTGATGTCCCCTTGAGCAAGAGTGAAGCTCTGACTGTTTGCACAGGGATGAGCAGAGGCATTTCCATGTGTCCCTACCTTTTGGAGGTCTGTCCAGTGTGTACCACAGCACAAACTGCTCAGGGTGCCTCTTGGCAATGTCTTCTAGCTCAGCTCTCAGCAATATATCATTTTCTGTCTGCAAAATGAGAGTTCTGTTTAGCTCCAAACCATCCCAGGAGCCCTCTGACAGAAGCTCATCTGCCATTCACAACAAATGCAATAAAAATTATGCAGATCAATAAAGTAATTTGGTATTTTTCCCCTTCCATTGTAGCTGTCATCATTACAGGCTTCTGTAAATTGAGGTTAAGAACAACAAATTGTGAGACTTAGCAGCCATCTAAACACAGTCCTGAAGATGGCAATTAGAACAACTTTTTAATCCAGGCTAAAATCACGAGCTGGATTTGGCCCTGGCCCTGGCAAATGGCCCTGGACTAGCATGGTGAAGGTTAACTTTAGAGATTAGCAGAAATAAATCTTGTTCCCTTGAAATCAGTGAAGGACTAAGATGAGCAGAGGGATCAGGAGCTGGTCACAGTGTTTATTCCCCAATTCTAGGGAATTCAGTGAAACTATGAGGAGATTCCCAAGTGTGAAAGAGTCTGAAACACGTGCCATCAGTTTAAAAAGCTCAGAGGCCCAAAAACAAGTGGGCTGTTAAAGAAGAACAAACAGATGAGTCAGAGTCCTCACCTGATTAGCAAAAAGAAGGTAACATTTTGTGGAGTCCTTGGGGTCGCTTGTGATCTGACGGATCAGCTGCAACATAGGAGTTATTCCTGTTAAAAACCAGAATGGTTATAAAGTGGGTGTTCCTTTCCATGGCTCCAGCTTCAGTATTAATGCTGCCTCCCCTCAGTCTTCAATGGCATCTCAGTTTGCACTGGGCTACACATCCCTGGATTTCTAATCCACATGGAGTGCAGAGACTGGGGGGTTTCTGTTACGGCAAACAGTTCCAAAACAAAAACACAATTCTTGTATGCAGGGTTTTTCTCTTCAAGATTCTCTAGCACGTCATTTTACCCTCGAGACATTCTCTTAAAATACTTTTTGTCACTGATGGAGTTCTCTGAGGTCACAAGGTAAATTAGGACTCAAACCCTCAGGTTGCTACTCCCCAGAACTGAGCTCAAACCACTGGAATGCCTCAGTGTTACCACCATGAAAATAAATGAATGGAAAGAAATGCAGGTGTAAGTACTCTGCTGCTGAAGTACAGTGATAGTCCTCACAAACACCCACAAAGACATTTTCACTCTCTAGACGCTTGATATGATGGGGTTAGTTTTACCTGTTCCTCCAGCTATCATCCCAAGGTGCTTTGCAAACTTCTTCTCTGCCTCAGACTTCTTATTAGGCTTGATCAGAAAGGTACCTAGAAGAAATATTCCAAACCTATAGGTACATTAACTTCCAAACAAACATGGATACACATTCCTTGGGAAGAAATGACTACAGATGACCAATTAATAAAGACAAATCTTCTGGAAATCCCTCCCTTCTGCTGAGAGAGGTTCATCAGGAGATTGCTGATCACAGGAGGTCAGCACCCAGAGAGAAATGCTGAGCACTCTGAGGTGAGACTCAAGTGCACAGCTCCTCTCAGTCGAGATCAGTGCAAAATCTTTCATTTGCATCCTACAAGAGGATTACTTCCCTGAGCTTATTTCCTCACTGTCAACCCAGGCCTGGTTTGATTATGAAATGGAGCTGGCTCTCAGTCAGCTGCTTTTTCAGTAACAGCACTGAGATTCTCAGAGGGCATTTGAAGCCACAATCTCACTTGCTTAGGAAGCATCTGGAGCATCTCCCTCCATATGTATAGCTGTGGTATTTTATTTCCAGTGCACACTTCTTAGTCATGTAACGCAATAGCAATTTTTTCAGATTTACGGGCCCAGGAGTGAGACACTCATCAGTTATTCCTTACACAGAGTACTCTTTCCCATCATATCAACTCTGACAGGCTCTCAAGTCAAGTCTAGAAAAGGTGGCTTTTCCTCTTTTCCACTTTAAAAAAAAAAAAAAGAGATTCTCTACAGTTGTCAAGTTTTATAAAACACTTCTGAAAATAACTAATACCTCCCTTTTGCTCTCCCACCTTTGTGTCACAGTACCTGTCCCCTTATAGACCAGGAGTCCATTTGGCCCTCTGAAATCAATGGTATCTCCAATCTTCATGTTATCCAGATACTGGGACATCTTCCCACCTTCTGGAAATTTGGGGTTCACATTTTTGTGGTAGACCTGTAGGAACAATCATTTGCACCTTATCAACCACTAACCTTCCTGCAGACATTATCACAAACTGTAAAACACAATCCTGCAGGCCTGAAATTTGGCACCTGAGAAAGAAATCGAGGGAATTCTTTGCTCTCAGTTATCTCTTGAGGAGGAAGCAGCCAAAATAAGTCAAATGTGCTGCTGGGCACATGTCCCTCAGCTCCCTGCAAACAGCCAGGATAACAGGGATGGGTGGAAGGCAGATTATGTGCTGCTGCTGCCCTCATTTCACTCTTGCCTCACGTCACCCCATTTTTGTAGCTGCTCCTTCTGGAAACAGCACTGCTGCATCTTTTCCTTCTAAAACTTTCCCACACAGACCCACAACAGCTTTCTAAGAAAAAAGCATTAGTAGTTCATAGCAGTTCATAAAAGTAAGAAGCATCAAGCAGTTCATAACCATTAACCACCCATGTGACATGAAGAACAGAGCATAAAAAAAAAAAAAAAGGGCCTGGGTTTTTGCCTTGGGATAAATTCTATCACAGAAAAGGATTAGGAAATCCAGAAGTCCTGGGATCAGATAATCCTGCATCCCTTGGCTTATAGGATTTCCCTTGTTTGACTTGCTTAGAGCTGTTTGCAGTAAGCACCAGCAGCAGCACAGGCATCTGGAGGGAGAGAGATCAGTATCCATGCACTGCCAAATTAAAGACATCAGGGAAATTCCTAAAGAGTTGCCAAGGAAGTGATTCCCTCCTCCCTCTGCTCTTCCTCTGCCATCCCTCAGTGCCACATAGCAGACAGGATGCAACTTACAACTCAAGGGCAGTGTGAAATTAATTGTTTGCCATGCAGTCACACTACTTGAAAGAGATGAGATCCGATGACAGTGAAATTTAATGAAATTTGAATGAAAGACGATGAAATTTGATGACAAAATCAAACCATTTCACTAAAATGAAGTACTTGCCCTCCTTCCAGTTACCAACTCATCTATATTAAATGAAAACAAAATTTACCTTTATAATTAAATCAACATAACCTTTTGTCTTGTCAGTGGAAACTGGGGTATAGGCTCGGATCACCAGATTCCCATCAATTTTTGCAGAAAGGTAAACATGTTGGCCTGGGGAGAAAGAATTATAATCTGACTTTTATTTTTTTTTTCATCCCTGGAGGACAAGAGGGAAAAGCAGGCATTGTAACCTGCTATGCATGCAATCACAGAGAAAATCTTTGCCATACAAATGCTGTATGAAACATTCAGTTTCTTCTCTTTTTTCAACCCAGAGCAGGAATCTCCCAGGAAGTAATAAAGTTTCAGGATCTTATTCCTAAGAATGAATCTGGATAAACACAAGCACTGCAGAGCACATCTCAGTTGGTTTACCATTTGTCTAGTAAATTCCATTACTCCCATACAAGGCAGAAGAGAGTTTGGAGAAGAACAAGCAGCATGCAAGGACATGCTCACAGCATGGAATGGGATGACCCTGACACCTGCCATACAGCACAGGGAGGTGCCAAACAGTGCAGAACAAACAGAGCCACATCTGAGATCAGAGAGAGAGAGAGACTTTCCCCTGCACAGATAATCACTGATCCAAGGTCCAAGGTTCAGTGCTGTAAGTGTACCAGGGTACAGGAAAGAAGGCAAATCCTAGGCTGAAATTAGTGCTACACAACTCCAGATAAAGTTGCATGGACATGTGTGTGATCCAAAGGTAAGTGCATGCACAGAAAAGGCTCTGAATTTTTCAGCATCTTCCCAGGCAGCAGACTTGTCCCCTTTCTCCTTTACAAGTGTGACTGCATTTGCCAAAACCATGAGGGCGATTGCCAACAGACTGAGGGGACCAGATGGAAGTAGAATGCAAATAAGAAATATGAAAAAGCTTTGACAGATATCACTCTGGCTTATATCCTGACTGGTGATGAGTTCCATCAGGCTCAGTTCAGTTTCACTGCTCCATTTCTAAACTACACCACACAAGTGGACAAAGCACTCACAAAAGATCAGAAACACAACCCTCTGGGAAACCTGACATTTCTCCCTGAGACAGCAGCATTCAGATGCAGCTTTCAACTCCTTGCTTTTCTGAGCCTTAAATTCACAGTTAGAAGTCCAAGAACTGTGAGAAACCAGAAATACAAGTAATTGTTTGCAGTACTTACCTACAGGCAATCCTAATGTATGATTTGTTGAGGGTAGCCCAAATCTGAATTTCTTAGTATCATGACTGATTTCCTAGAAAACCAAAGTTAGAACGAGGTCAGCATCACCACTGCTTTGAATTTCAAACTCAACACAATATGCTTTAGCAAGCCTGCTCCTTGTTAGCATGCAAGCCAAATGCTGGGAAAGGACACAGAAAAGGGCTTTGAAAAAGAAAGCTGAAATAACCAGGGGTTTCAGAAGCAGTTTTCTCTTCCTTACTTCCACAAGGAGTGACTTTTGCCTGCCTGCGCAATCCCTACAGCACTTTTGCACAGATAAAATCAGGAAAGCCGGTGCCCAAGGCCAGTGAGCACATTCCATGCTTGCGGCCAAGGATCGGGCAACTCAGGGCGTGCAGAACCTGCTGGGCTTGCTTCCCACGGTGTACCCAGGCCAGCAACCGAGGGACGAACACAGCCGGCACTTAAACACGCCGAGCATCGGGAAACAACACTCCGCAGCGTGGCAGAAACGCTTTTACACGCCCTGCTCTACACTGGGAGCATGGCAGGGCGGCTGCGGGGCTCACAGCCTTGGAGGGCTCTGTGCCCTGCTCTGGGGATTCCATCCCTGGGGTGGCCAAGAGCCCCTCGGGCCAGCGGACCTAGCGCCCTCGGAGCCCCGCTGCCCCACGTCCCCAGCGCCCCCGGGCACCTCCTTGTCCAGCAGCCGCAGCGGGTACTTGGCGAGCGGGTCCTGCAGGGTGACGGGGCCGCTCGGCCTCCGCGCCGTC